GACCTAAGCTCGTTCCCCGCCGCTCTTGCGCACCGCATCTCCTTCCACGGGTGTATTCGATGAATACTCGCAAACGCGAGAACGACCGGGACACGGAGGTGACGGTGAACCTTAGAACGGCCCTAGCGTGGATCAGGACATGGAACTTTTGCTGGTGAGCTTCCCAACTTCCGTAATCCCGTGTTAGGTTGAGCGCGAGCTAATCGTACGCCATTAGGTATCCCGAATATGGAATTGCCCTTCCAAGAGGGGAGCCAACGATGCGCTCTCTCTATCTACCGAATTCACTCTCCAATCTGCATCCCACATTCCACTTGCGCACTGCCTATCGCCTAGCGCTGTGATCAGATCAGTATCTAGATGGACCTCGACATACTCGACATATATAACCCTTGATGTGTCCCGTAGTATGGTTTTATAACAATTTACTCATCGCATCCCGATATAGGCCAAACACTATTAAGCTCCTATGTGCATTGATCTTTTCGCATCTCTGGATATCCCACAGTGAGGATGCCTCTTCCTGGTGGGTTCGACTAAGAGCGACGCCCTCCAGCGCAATGTTGCATTTGAAGCCTTTGCTCAGGCTGCCTCCAGCGCTCAAAGTCCGATCATATATGACAACTACTCATCGCCAGACCGCATTTTGATCATGTACGCCCTACACATGACCTCATGATCGTCCCAAACACTACTCGCGAACATGATCTCACTCTTCGGGTGACGCTTTGCACTCGCCGAGATACCCGCGCGGGCGCGGGCGAAACATCGGCTGTGGCGGTCCGCATCACAACTTAATACTTAAGCCTGAAGAGGATCTTTCCTCGGAGCATCGTGTTGTAGAGCTCTACAAGAGGTGCTGTGGCTCACCCTTCGTAACCTGATGCGCCCAACGGAATGCTCTGCCCACCGTCGCTGGCTGTGCAGCTCACATAGCAATCCCCGACTCACCGGTCCTCATGAGAACCAGCGGATGATCGTGAGAGCGCATGATTGTATCCATTCACCTCTAAACTTCCGCCAACGCGCAGTACTCAGGCGACGAGTCATACGCGTATGCGCTTTTGTCACATCTACTGTACAGATCGCACCTCCGACCTGCAACGCATCAGAAACTTGTATGCTGTTCAACTGCGTGCGAGGCTCGGAGGCCACTCTCCGGTACGAGGTCTATTGGCAAGTAAAACCGTACTTAACTCGTCTTACAGGTTGTGCGAAGCACTTGCTCACCGAAACCGAAGATGGCCGCTGGACCCGTCGACCCAACATATCCACTACTCCCAACTGCAGCATTCCTTGGGGCGGGGATGTTGCTGCTTGTGCTGCTCGGCAGTCTCATACGTCAACGCTATAGCCTTGGCGTCATGCTCCTGTGCCTCTGGCTACTCTTCGAAAACGTGACGAACGGCTACAACTTCATCGTATGGTCTGACAACGCCTATATCAAACATTTGGTATACTGCGACATAGGTGCAGTCAACTCGCCACTTCTACGAAGGAACCATCGCGACTGACACGAGCTTCTTGAGTATCCCACCTGCAGATGATGACGATCATCGCCAAACCCATGTCAACGTTCGTTATCACCCATCGGCTGTATGTGATCGCCGGTACGCGATCAACCTTCCCACCGAGTGCAGCCGAAGTGAGCGTGTAGTAGCGTATGAAGCCGGTTCGACGGACTCAAGATCTACTCTAGACGCGCCGCAATGCAATTATAGAATGGGTCCTGGGCTTGGTTGTTCCGCTGCTTGTCGGAGGACCGATATGTGAGGCTTTCCACCGCGCTCGTCAGTCTAGGCGTTGACATGGCAGTAGATTACATCGTGCAAGAAGCCCGGTTCCAAGTCCAGGAGGGTTTCGGATGCGGATCGGCTTCGTATAGCTCGGTCCTCTATATCTTGCTCATACAGTCCTGGAGCATTATCCCGCCCATCCTCTCCATCGCGCTCCACTACCGTAAGTACCACCGATAGAGCACATCCGCACCTGTATAGCTGACGCGAACGTCATCGTCTAGCGAGAGTGGTACGGGTGTTTTACCTTCAAAGCAGAGATATCGGCGACATTATGCTCAGCGTCGGCCGAGTCTCGCGCGCCCATTACTTTCGCCTCCTTGCGCTCGCCAGCATCGATATCCTCATCACACTGCCCTTTGGCATCGTTGTCCTCGTCCTCGTCGTGACTACGGGGCTATCTGAGGACAGTCTGCCCTTCTATCCCGGCTGGGACATCGTTCACAAGAACTGGGAGCCGACAGGCTTTGCCTACTCGGAGACGAGTCTCAGCGTATCTTCGCTTGCGGAGTATTACTTCTCTTACTGGACGTCTCCCATTCTCTCCTTCGTCATCTTTGCCCTGCTCGGGCTCACGAAGCAAGCCCGAGCTACGTATTGGGACATCATACGTGCATGTGGCAGCTGCGTCTGCCGGAGGCGAGCGTCCGGGGCGAACCGTCAAAGCCAGGAGTTGGCGACCAAGAAGCTCTCAGCGGGTCAGCATCGGATCACATCGCTCAGTATCGACATTGGGTGTGCTTTTCGGTATCGCTTCCGTGTCATGCATCCTGACCATGCCGAGTAGCAAGCATCCTGAGTTCTCCATAGACATCGATGTGCCCTCTGCTCGCGATGCTCACGAATCCAAGACGGAGGCGGTATATAGGAGCACACCAGGCGCAGTTGACGCAGCTCACGAAGACCGCAAGGCGGAAAGGGCATGTAGCCTTACTAGCGAGGGAAACGCGGTAGGTGCCGAGATCGCTCATTCTGGTGTACGCTCTGACGTCTGCCACTGTGCAGTCGCAACGATGAGATAATTCTGGCTCATTGATTGTCCAAAGGTACAATAGCATTGGGTTATTGAAGTCTGGGTCCGTCTATGTACAGAAAACATGGTCGCCCTTCGCCTGTGAAGCGAGTCAGTGAAGGACAGACGTTCATCATAGGAATTACGCACCAGTAAGTACTCGCTTCAGAAAGCCAGATGATGAACCATCTAAGTTATAACCTCCATATGACCGACATCGTAGTCAGAATTGCCGTCTGCCGTGTCTTGCGCTCGAGTCTTCGGTCTCATCGGCTCTTGAACGTTGAACGTTGAGCAGGCAGCAAGAACTCGGTCATTACTCGCGGGCGCACTTTGCCGGAGATGATGACACGCTCGTGTCACTCCAAACTCTGAGAGGAGCACTAGTTCAATCGTTACACTATAGAAGTAAGTTGATGGTGGTCAAAGGTCGAAGAGACGACAGGGCGCGCGTCCACACACGCCGACACTGGTTGATCCGTTATGCCACGCGTCACGGATATCAGGCAGATGCCTCGCCAACGACTTGCCGCTGACGGCCATCATATATGGATTCACTACAACGCCTGACGCACCTCATGTCCGGAACGATATCTTCTTTGACGGTGTATGTCATATGGAAGTAACTGTGCTGTCTGCCTTCCTGCTTGGTGCGCAACGCCTAGGCTCAATCTCGAGCTACGGGCTGCAAGAAGACTCTTCGCCGAGCTTCCAGTGAACAAAGGGGGTCGCGGAGGGTACCACTTGTCTTCTGTTGGTACAACCTATACCTCTGGGCCGACTCGGTCTTGAGCTTCTCTCAGTACTAGGCTCTCACAGCGATGCCATGCTGAGTACCAGGACGGCCCGAGAAGCACTGTCAATCTACGACCAGTCTTTGAGACAAGGTCTATCGTCAATGCGCACATTATGCGTTTGTTCTGACTGCGAACGAGGCTGTCCAAGCACAGGCCTGAGCAACTATTGTCGTGCTTCGCAGGCAGCAGATGGACAGACTGCGTGCACAAAGGTTGCTTTGAGGGCCCTTGTTCTTGCGCTCACCTATTCTTTCCATTGTTACAGATGAGTATCTAGTCCATGCACTTACCACCGCAGACACGGCATATAAATACAGGCTATTCGGCGGGTCCCAATTTCCAACGCTCTTCCTCTACTCACAATGACTTCAAACGAGTGAGGTTTCCCTACATCTCGCACCCTTGCGTTACTCACGAAAATGCCGTAGCCTACCATCCACCGCCGTTCTGATGCTCCAGGTCGAGGACGGTGTGCCCTGTGTCAAGATCCCAGGCGACACTAACGACGCGAATACCCAATCTCTCACCCCAGGTTGTCAACTCGTACTCTCATCTGACGGGTCCTTCCGCGTCAACGGTGTGATTGACGCCCAGACGTGCTCTGTCGTCGAGTGGGACCAGGGATACGGCTGGGGCATCACATACAACTTCCGTCATACCAAGGAATCAGAACGCATCGTAGTATACGTTGGGTCCGATCCACGACTTGCGCTTTCGGTCGACGGGGAAGTGGCCGTTGAGCGTGGCACGGCTGGATGGAAAACGATGCAGAAGCAGCAATAGCGCTAAGTGCTAGCTAGTACGCTTCCGAACACGACTGCCACGTTCATTGTTCGAGTTAAGATGAGATTTTCACAAGTCTAATCGGCGACCGCGCTATACGGCTCGCCCCGCGCGCTCGCGTTCTAGACCGCGCGGTTTCCCGCATAACCTCGCCCCACCGCGCTGGGGCGCGCACCGCTAGACTCGATGACCGTACGCTCGCGCCGAGCACGTCATCCCGCATATTTTGCTTCCGCCGCGTGCCCCAGGCGTCACCTCGTAGCGCGCCGCACGAGCGTAGCGCGTATCTGGGCCCGTACGAACCGCTGCGCACGCCAACGGGGTTCGCGGTTGTTGAGCCGCAGAGGAACCCCGAGTGGAGCAACGTACGCGGGCGAGGATAAAGGGAACGGGCAGACCGCTGCGTCGCTCGCACACGCTGCCCTTTCTCCTCGCCAGGTTCGTACGACTTCCTAACCTCCGGTCGCTACCGGGTAGCTTACGCGCGCACGTTTCTCTCCTCGCCAGGCCGCATATAGCTTTCTCGTCTTTCCCTTGTCGTACCTCCCATCTTTCGAGTCATGGCACAAGACCCCCCTCCTTCGCGTGCTGTATCACCGACCGGTGCGGGCGAAGAGCAGATGGGTACCCCTCTCGACGCTAGCCTTCAGCGCGACATCGAGAAGCTCTGCGATGCTGTTACGGAGAAGTTCTCACGCGGTACCCTCTCATTTGCTACTGCGACTCGGCAGATCTGGGACGCTATTCGCGGTGCCACCACCAATATTCAGGGTGTCACGGAGCTACAGCTAGGCGCCATCCACGAGTCCTACATCAACATTCTCAACAACACGCGGGCGGTGAACGAGGGTTTCGACCGCAACGGCCAGCATGCTTCTGGTGTTCAACCCCCGCGTCGCAAGAGGACGGCTACCGGAGGTGACGGACCCGGCGACCCTGATGGCAGCTCCGATGAGGATGGCGACGGAGAACCTCGCGACCGCCGCCCGCCTGTCAAACGCACTCGCGGTCTCGACGATGATACGTCGGGTCCCCGCGGCAAGCGTGATTTTGACCCGTCTCTCGTCCCGTTCGCTTCCGCGTTGACGGACGAGGGTTCCTTTCGCGGCGCGGGGTTCATACAACCGAGTCCGTACGCCGCGGACATCGCCGATACTCTCAAACTCAAGTTCAACTACCTCGCCGACCTCACGCACTCGACCAATCTCGTCTGCTGTGCACCGACCGTGCCCGAGTTCCCGCGTGCTCTCTGGCGCCTCGTCCTCAGCAACGACTATATTGACTTCGGCAAAATCTTCACCGCAGCATACGCGACAGACGTCGACCACCGCGAAACCGTGGGGAAATACGGTGACCTCGAGCTCTCGCTCGACCGCAGCTCTGCCAAGTCCGCCCGCCACATCGGTTCGCACGGCGAGTGGTCCATTGCCTTCAAGGCCTGGCGTAAGGCCGTTGTTTTCGCGTACCCGCACCGGGGTGACGAACTCGACGCGTACGAGATGCATATCACGGAACTCTTTGTCACGCTCCCCCACGCGGCCTCGTCCATCCTCACTTACGACCGCGCAGTCCGCGTACATGCCGCCAGCCGTAACGACATCTACTTGGGCGACGAAGGCCAGTTCCGGCAACTCCACCTGCGGTACATCGTCAATCGCGCTGGAGGAGGAGGAGGCCCGTCTGCGCCAGGTCCTTCTCGCAAGAATGGACAGGGCAGCCTCGAATCCCGCCTCACCGGTGCGAGCAATGGCGGCGGCAACTCGGGGCAGACCCCTATCTGCCGTCGGTGGAATAACGGACAGTGTACCAAGCCCCGTACCTGTAACTTTATCCACGCGTGCTCCGGATGCCAATCCAGCACGCACGCCCTCCTCGAGTGCCCCAACAAGAAGCAGCACTGAATGGGAGTCAGAGCTGCAGACGCGCAGCCTGCCAGGTCCGCCGGCTGGACCGAGGCTGAACCGCGGTTTCTTGTGGGAGGAGGATAAGAGCTTGTTTTCGTTTGTCACGCCGTCTGCGTCCGCGACGGAGATGGCGGACCCCGTGCCTGCGCCGCCTGAGGCGGCGCTACACGATTCTGTTGCCGCTGCGACCCTAGCGTCCCGTCCGGACTTATTTAGTATTGTCACGCCTGTCAATATCATTGCTTTCGAAGCACATTTATCCACGCACCCAAACCGCGCCTATGTCGCGTCGGTCGTCCGCGGACTGCGCGAAGGTTTCTGGCCGTACATCGCTGCCGACCTCGAGCCCCCGGTGATACGTGATTTCCCTGAGCGCTCTCTCACGCCCGAACACCTTGCTTTTGCCGTCAAACAGCGAGATGTCGAGCGCTCTCTCGATCGTTTCTCTGCTCCCTTCAAGGAACTACTACCCGGCATGATCAATGTACCCGTCCACGTCGTCCCAAAGCAATCGGGCAAACTACGCCTCGTTGTCGACCACTCAGCCGGCGACGACTCACCGAACTCGTTCATACCAAAGCATGATGTGCACGTCAAGCTCGATACGGTCCGAGACCTCATGCACAACCTCCTCGTACACCGGCGACGCAGTGGCAACAAGCCTGTATGGATCTTCAAGTCTGATGTGTCTCAGGCTTACCGCCGCATGCCTATCCACCCATTGGCCCAACTCCGCCAGATTGTTACCATCGACGGCGAACGGTCAGTTGACCGCTGCAACAACTTCGGTGGCCGCGGATCCGGAACGGTTTTCTGCTCGTTCATGGCCCTTGTCGTCTGGATCGCCGTCAACGTATACAAGATCGAAGGGTTGCTCGCGTATATCGACGACTGCTTCGGTTTCGACGACTCTGAGGAGCTGGAATACTACGAACCCTATGATACTCGGTATCCCCCAAAACAGGTAGCACTCTTGCGCTTGTGGGACGCACTCGGCATCCCGCACGAAAAGGAGAAACAAGAGTACGGCCGCTCGCAAGTGGTCACTGGCCTCGAGGTTGACTCGGCCCGTCTCACCGTCAAGTTGCCGGACGACAAGCGCATCGCTCTCGTCCAAGCCGTCCGCGCCTTCATCTCCGAGGCACCGCGGCGCCAACGCCGTCTGGTAGAGTGGGAACGCATAATCGGATGGATGAACTGGGCCGTCACGGTCGCACCGTTACTTCGACCCGCACTCACGCCCGGCTACGACAAGATTGGCGGCAAGCACCAGCGAAACGCGCGTATCTACCTCAATGCCGAGGTAAAGCGCGATTTTGCCTGGTTCGCAGACGTCTTCGAGTCCTGGGATGGCCTACATGCTGCGGAGGCCCGGATCTGGACACCAGATCAAGCCGACCTCTCCATTTTTTGCGACGCCTGCATGTCCGGTCTAGGGTTCTGGACCCCCAACGTCAACCGCGGTTTCGCTGGTGGTCTCCCGGAGCTCCCGCCCGGAGTCTCGGGTCCCGACACGATCTATTGGTATGAGGCTATATGTGTCCTCCGCGCCTTGGCTTGGGCCGTCTCCCTCCCCAACCCGCCACGCCGCCTCGCCATTTTCACCGACAACCTCAACACCGTCCAAGTGTTCAACTCCCTCAAAGCCCACGGCGAATATAACAGCATCTTGCTACTCGCCGCCCGCCTCCGTATCGAGTCGCGCGTCGATCTCCGCGTATCGCACATACCCGGAGTCGACAACAGCATCGCCGACGCCCTGTCGCGCGGCCTCCTCAGCGACGCACAGCACCTAGCCCCCCGCCTCGTTATCCACGCCCTGGATAACCCGTCATGGATGAGCCTGGGAGCGGCGGCGTGCTAGATGGTCTCGCTTCAAGCTCACGCCAACCCAAACGGGAGCGCTGGCCGCTCACACGCCTCGAGCACATGCGCGCTCGCGCACTCGGTGCTGCAGTTGACCTATCCACTGCCCTTTCTTACTCGTCTGGGACGCGCTCGTACCTTTCGTTTACAAAGCTCCACGAGCTCCCTGTAGATCCTACTGCAGACACGCTGTCACTCTTTGCTGTATATATGTCCAGTTATATTAAGCCCACCTCCGTCGACTCCTACCTCTCGGGTGTGTGCAACGTGCTCGAGCCCTTCTATCCCGATGTCCGCAAGAATCGGAACAGTGCCCTGGTCCGCCGCACCATCAAGGGCTGCAAACGCCTCTATAGCTCCGCCCCCGAACGAGCTGAAGCCCTCACGCTCGAGGACCTCGCGCGGGCTAGCCATACCCTCGTTTCCCCTTCGCATGACGACCTTGCATTCCTCGCCATGCTGCACGTCGGGTTTTTCGGCCTCCATCGCCTGGCCGAACTCACCGACCACGATACGCCGAAGCTGCGCAACCCGCGCAAGACCATGCGGCGGTCCACGGTCAAGTTCGCCGACGACGGGACCTCCTTCAGCTACTGGCTCCCCACACACAAGGCCGACGCCTTGTACGAGGGGAACACTGTCCATATCCTCCGCCGCGACGACGGCCCCGACCCGATGTCCGTTTTCCGGGCTTACCTCGCGTCTCGGGACCGCCGGCCCTTCGCGCTCTGCCCGCAGCTCTGGCTGCTCGCCGACGGGCGTGTACCGACCAGGTCGTGGTTCACCAGCCGGCTCCGCCAGCTTTTCCCCAATTCCGGTGTCGGTGGGCACTCTATGCGCCCGGGTGGCGCCACGTTCTTCGCACTCGAAGGTTACCCGGACGACCGCATCCAGGGACTGGGACGGTGGACGAGCGACGCGTTCAAGATGTACATACGCAAACACCCGGCACTACTGCATGCCCTCTTGCTCGCGCGCTCGCGGCGAGATGGTGCTAATGCAGGTACCGCCGCATAGGGTGGCGCTTCGCTCGACACTCTCATCTTCTTTCCCTCAATCACCACCAGCCTCCCATTCCACCTCCACACTTCGTTACTCCTCTATACGGTCGGTCTCGCGCTTTGCAATCCATCTGGCCCCTCCCGGGGCCATTTCCCGCAACCACCACTTGCTCGTCAAGCCGACCTGACTCGGTCAAGCCGATTAGACCGCATAACCACGCGCTGTCTACAAGCATCCGTGAATATATTCATTGATTGAATCGCTGAAGAATCGGACGCGTTCCATAAGATACATAGTTCAGAGATAGAGCTACTTGAGTACTGAGTTTTTGTGTGAGTGATCATGATGGATACTGCCCAGCATGGGATTGGTGAAGGGATAAACCTGAGTATACTGAAGAAGCCATAAAGCGCAGTTCGCGGCGCAAATCCGACACGCCCGCTGCTTTTGACTTTACCACGGCCGTCAACATCACACAAACGTCATCCGTCGGCAGTAACATGGCAGTGGCAAGGCTCTGTTACAGAGAGGATTTCGAATGGCGTTGGGTGGCCAGTATCATGGAAGGCATCCACGGCGATGTCGGTATGGGCGAGGGTGATGTGCGGACCACGTTCATTGCGATGGGCAGGAAGCGATGCGATAGTACATGGGCATTGGGACCGACAGGATGCGAGAGATGACCGCTCTGTTGTGCACGCACGCGCCCTTCGCGTCGCCGCCTGTAGAAGACGATATTAGACTCGGGACAAGATTTGTCAACATACAGGCGCACCTTCGCTAGCACGTCCAACACTCGCGACGCAGGGTATCAAGAGCATCTCAGGGCTAAATGAGAGAAGCACGAGCGGATTGTGGTAGCCACGTCCTTTCGCAATATCCTACATGACTTCATCAGAAGAGTTGACCCACACGAATTGCGCGACATACCATGACATACCCAGAGAGCGTCCTTCGACAACGGCCCTTCAACAGCGACGTCGAGCTCCGCCATGGGATGTTGGCGCCCGGCATCCGGCGGCGCATGCACATATCTTTCGACGGCGCCTATTGAAGACGTGTAGGAGCCTCTCTTGTCCAGTCACCCGGTGGCGTTGGACCGTGGAAATGGTAGTAGCCGTGTGTTGGGGATGCCACTCCGGAACACCAAGACACGCTCTCCTGCTTGGCAGTTAGAGGACATTTGAAAGTCGTCGTCAAGTCCGGGGGCCGACGGATGCGTCCGTGAGGGAGCGAGAGGAGTGGGCGCAGGGGTCATGTTGTCCAACCACCGACCGACCGATGCGGTCGAGCGTGAGCGCTGGCCTTGAACGTCTAGTATCGTTGTTTGCTGTACATGTCGTCCTATTCCACATATCTCTCCTTCAATAGGACTCCGGAGGCTCGATGCGTCCAGTCTGAGTGAAGAAAGGAGAGGTACCGCAAGGCGGTGAGAGTTGAGGGCAAGCTGTAATTGCCCTCGACGCACTACCCGTAGTCCGTGGGTTGCAACCCCTGGGCAACTATGCCCAATGGGGTTGCAACCCCCCTCTGCAAGTTGCAACCCGTCGCCCCGAGGCCGCGCCTCCGACAACTGAAGGATAACCTTATAATGTGCAAAATTTAACTAAATTCACGCGAATTGGTGTATCAAGTTCAAATTATAATTTTCATTGTCGACAATTCAGGTCTAAACCAACGTACAGTCTATCTACACCTCCAAGCCGACGCCTTCAAGCCGCATACAACAAAGACGAAACCAAAGGAAACGAGGAAATGTAGCAATTTGAAGGAGAAACTAGACGCGATAGCAAGAACAAGTAGCCGTACTGGGACGAACCCCGCCGCGCGCGCAACAAAAACCCTCCGACTGCACCCCGACAGGAACCGAGATAACCTTCAAGGCGTATTGCACGGGCGCCAAAGGACAAAGCTATGTAAAACGGTCTGAGTTACGGTATGAGATCAAGACATAAGACAAGAACATACCGTCGACAAGTCAAGCGAGGGCGGCCGCGCCTGTTGGGGTACGAGAATGCGCGACTCGGGCGCCGGGAGCGGGGACGGCCATCTACGATCGCGTAGGTTCGGGGCAAGATACAGGGACCTGCGGCAGGTTATGTTAGGCATAAAGGAGGAGGACACGAGGGCGTAGAGGGACGACATACGATGGAGGCCCAGGCGAGCGCGGATGCGAGCGGAGAGACGGCGCGAGGGACGACCGGAGGCCGTCAGACCGTGGACGCGCTCATCAGCTGAAGCGCAATGAACCTGACAGTAGCGGGTACTACGCCAACGAACGAGGACGGGCTGGACGTTGAGCGACGGACGGCGAGCGCATGAGCGGGGAGAGGAAGATGAGGGGCGAAGGCAAAAATCGTCTTGTCAAACGACGCGTGAAGCGCGGCTCGGGTCGGCTCGGAACGGCTGAGCCAATCGGAGCAGTCGAGCCGAAGACGCGTCAGCACGGCGCGACTCGCGACTTCGCGATTTTCGTTCTCCCTCCACCGCGTCCTCCCTATCACCGTCATCCTCGCCCTAGCCCTCGCCCTCGCCCTCGTCCTCGCCACCGTCGCCCGCAGCCCGCCGCATGCCATGTATTTGGTCTCTGCGATTCGATCAAGGGGCGCGGCGCGACTTTTATAAGGCGACCTTCCCCTTCCCGCGACTCAATTCGCGCTGCCTGCGCCACCGTGCGCGTTGTTGACCTCGCTCATCTGCTCGATGGTGAGCGATGGCTTAGGTTTGGGTGCGTCACCACTCGTATTACTGTAGTATCTGATACTTACGGGTTTCTGTCAGCGTCAGCGAAGCCCAGACTCGTGTCTAACCGCCCGTCGGGAGATGCCGCCCACCTGTACGTGCGAGTCGGTTAATCCTGCGCCCGCACCGCTCACACCTTTCATAGCGTGCTTGCACCCCCCGCCCTACCGCTTCAGGCCCGTCGCCTTCTGCTCGCTCGTCAGCGATACGGCCATCTCCACGTACGCGCGCGCCCGTTCCTCTCCCGTCTATCTCGCTGACATATATTCACAGTTTTCTCTATCCTTGCAATCTTGCCGCGCACGAACGCGCATCGGTGAATCGCGTTGACGCCTTGACGTGCCCCCCTCCCCCGCCTCCCCGTACGGTCGCCAGTGCGACGCCCCACACCGCCCGTATCGCTTTCATTGCACAATTGTGCGCCTGGTGCGTATACGCGACGCGTGACTGCTCGCGATTATTCATTCTTGTCCCGTTTGCCGTGTTTATCGTTGTTCCTATTTTTCGTGAAGACTTATACGCATCGTGTTCGTTCTACGCTCGCTTTCCCGTACCCCATCGTTTACTCCTTCCTCCCAATCCACATGTAACACTGTGAATATTCCCTTCCTTGTTCAAAAGCTTGTTCCTTGCTATACGTGGTCCCCTTGATCTCTATGTAGGTCTCGTTTGCCTGTACGAACCAGTTTTACGAGCCGCCGTGTAATTAGTCAAATTTATATATAATGAAATTGCGTTTATTTTCCGGATTTGGTCGGCCCGAGCACTTATCGACGTGCCGAGTCGTGCCGAAGACGGTTGCAACTTCCCGAGGCGGGTTGCAACCCCATTGGGCATAGTTGCCCATGGGTTGCAACCCATGAACTGCTACGGCTGCTCGACGCGCGACGAAACCTCTTGCTTCCGCCCATCATCTGCGCGTCTACATTCCCCTACACCCGAGATTACCAAATATTACTGAAGGGACTCCCTCATGATATTCATGACCGGCAAGGGACATGCGCTTGCCCAGCGATAGCCACGCAGCCGCGAGCTTGCGACTGACGACTACAACTCCTCACTGCCCGTCTGCGACGCTAGAACCCAGTACTAATCGGCAGCGGCAGCCATGACTCCCCAAACTTCCGCTTGTTGGTCGAACTATTATCTTAGCCTTCCCGAGCACGCGCATTCTCTGCCATTTGTCAACACTACAAGTGACTTGTAGCGCGTTTGTTTTCCGAGGCATCGCAGCTGTCAGAGCTGTGCGGCGCTTCTGTCGCCAGCCTTTGTTCTCTCCTCGCTGCAACAAGGCGATGAAGACTCTGAGAACGTTGCGTAGACAACCTTTTGTCGCCTCATGAACGTATTCTACCCGAATTGAGTGCTTTGGTCAGTAAAAACCACCGCACGCGGGTATAAATGCAGGTCCTCCGATGAACTATCCATTCCACACTCAGCTACATATCCCCCTCCTGACCTCATGTCATCCTCCCCGTAAGCTCAGAGTTATTGCGCGACCCGATACCTCTGACAACGGTTGCAGCTCATTCTCCGACGCCGTCTTAGCGTTAGAGCTCAGAGACGGCATGCTCTACGCCGACCCAGGACCCCAGAATGACAAAGCTCATACGATGGCTTTTCCCCCGGGTGGTCAAGGCAAACTGCTACTTTCATATGACGGACGCTACGGCGTCGACAGCATCACCGGCCACCAGCCGTGCTGTACCGTTGTATGGCAGCTGCCTAATCCAGGGACTGCCAATGTCTATGTCAAGCACGACGCTTATGGCGATCAAAGTGGCGATCAAAAGGCGATCAAATACGATGTACACTACGGAATGCGGCTCGTCTTTCTCAAGGACGGTAGTTTGGCCACGCAGAAGGAGGGTGAGAAGCTTTACCTGTTTGATCTGAACATGTACCGGTGGCGCACATAGGAATGAACCATGGGCTGCGTCCCTCTGCTGTAGTACCTGTGCATTCGGTCAAGACACAACGTGAATCAATACATCTCAACGATTGTGTCGCTCATGCGATCCCTTCCTGATTAAGAAGATCCTTCAGGACATGAGATTACTCGAGCTGTGGGGCGATATGCTTGCAACGTAAATTAACATTCTTAGATGGGCGCTGAGACACAGAAGTCAGGAGAGTCGGGATGAGATCTGGTGAGATCAAAGGACACCCAGTCGCACTTCTGCGGGATCCATAGCGTGGGTGAGAGCACGTTGCTCATGAGAAACTAGCTGAGCCCAGTACTCTATGAGGTGCTATTGCATGTCCACCAAAGCCAGGAGCTAGCGACAGAGGAGCTCTCAGAGGGGGGCAACAGGTAGCTGAATCGCTCAGTCCAGTGTTCCCTGCACGTTATGCGCCCAGACCGAATATATAAGTAAGAGGGGTCGTCGTGAGGTCAATATTCATCTTCATATGGCAGCGAGTATCTTCAGGCAACTCGCGCCATTGTTCAAGTACTGTAGCGTTCATGATAGTCAGAGCGAAGTCAAAGAAGGGCCGCGCGCGCATGGTTGATCCGCTGCACCACGCGTCTCGGGCCGATGCATTGCATTGCCTTTTCAACTTGCCGATGACCCCCATCATGTAGTTCTCTATGAACGTGCGTCGAGCACCGATCTCGATGTCGACTGTATCTCTTTCGGGCGCCGTCTTCTCCCTGAGATAGCCCGGTTTGCGCCAAACACCGCAACATCAGTAGAATTGTGGCACCGGCGTCGGTTCGACGAACAGTACTCGCCCTCCAGACGGCCGCCACCTGCGCCGCGTCCACATGCACCGTTGAACCCGATCCACCCCCGTAATACACTTCTGGGTGGCGAATCGCTCTATAGCTACAGTCTACTGGACAGATAGTGACAGCGCGAAGCATCTTCTTCATCCTTCCTGTCTTCGGCGGCACACATGCGCTTCTATTCAAAGGTGTGCGCAATAGTTTTCACTCCAGGCGAGCGGTATCGTCCTGCTGAACTACTAGCCACCTTCTGGTGCCATGTAAGATTGACCACTCGCTGTCTTGCCGCGTTGTCACTGTAGTTCATCAGGAACTTGTATGTCCGACTAGCATATGTACCGGCTGCGAAGCCGATATGCACTGCCCTCGGACGTAGGTCGCGATGTAGTCCTCGTCAGTAGAGCCTGTTGAGGCTTTACTTGACAGCAGTGCATCACATCTCGCCGCATTTCCTGAATCCTTACCTTTCTCGTCTGGATCATCGGGCAAGCTTATTTCTCCCCTGCGCCTTCGCCACGCTCTAATTCTCACATTCCATACATCCAGGTACTATAAGTACTCTGACCAGCCAGTACGAAGTCTTATATGAGCGCACTGCGACTGGCTTTCTGGCGCGACATCCTCTACTCTTTCCTCAACCATCCTCCAGAACGAACACGATGATCTCGCTCGGCAAGATCGCTGCCCTCGCGTTCTTTACGCTTGGTATCGTCGCCTCTACAGTCCCCACTAAGCGCCAGAGCGACTTGACTGCCGTCGGCGTCCTCAACAATCTCGCCGATGAAATCACTCCCATCGCTGCTCAATTCAGTAAGCCTGATTTCACCCTCAATGTCAGGGACACTGCTCATCGTTTCCTCAATCGCAGCTTTCCTCACGCCTGCGAATGCGACCCCAGCCAACGTGCAAGGCATCCTTGACCAGATGAACCCGTTCTTCGTCGATACATCGGCTAAGATTGGGGCCGCCCTTCAAGCTCAATCAGCCGCCGACGTGAGCGCAACGATGCAGGCCATGGCCGATGTCATCAACGTAAGCACATATCGAGGACGCTCTCGTATGCTATCTGAGAGCTCATGGACGTCATTGTAGGCTGTATATACACCCATGCGCAAGCTCTCTGCCACTGCAGGCATTTCCGTCGAGGTGTTCCTGCCCTCAATTGGGACCTACCTTAACCAGTTCCTTCCCGCGGTATTCGTCGCCTTTCTCAACTCTCTTTCTTGAGATACATCTCCAGTTTGGCTGTCATACTTTGCGCCCTCTACATATTTGGTCTCATCTCCATGGGCGTCCGATGAGGATTGTTCTCTGGTGAATGGGGCGGTATAATATTTCCTTCAGCCTGCAGGGTTTTGTGAACGAATGCACTTCATCCAATGTTTAGACTACGTACTTCTGTGGCTTCTCCTTTCCTACTGTAACCATCTATTCATGATAAGACTCACATTGACTCTCAATTACGCCCTTCGGCGCTTACATGATCCTCTTGGTGGCCTCGATACTACCGAGTCTCAGCAGTTCAAGAGATTGATGCCCACAGGGTACGTGACCCATTTTAGGTTCGGTTCAGATGCACAGCGCGCCGTATCCAAATGTCCCTTGACTAGAGGCCGGAGATGAGGGTGAGCGCAGCGTTCGAGTCGCCGTGGAAGTCGGTTGAAGGCGGCTTCGAACGCGACCGCGCGCGGCGCCGCGTTGAAGCGGAATGGGGGATAGCCGCCTATAGCCGCTAGCGTATAAGCCTGGCACGCGACGAAGGCTGTCAGCCTATATTGAAGTGCTCTATGATGAAAGTCGACGAGTGGTCCAGTGAGAAGGGGCATGAGAGCCACAAGCAAGCTAAGTTACTTACGTAGATGCCACAGCCAAATACTTAGCCACTTCGGGAAAACCGGCCCGTACATAGACGCGTAATTCTGGCGCTTTCGTACGTTCGTTCGAACGTTAATCTTTATCCCGGTTCGCGACGCTCTCTCCTTGCTCATACACACACGAGACAATTGCGTTTGCAATCTTCATAACAGCGCCCTCAGCCCTACGCCACTTCTCGTTCGCTTGCGTCCTTTCGCTTGAGCATACCGCTCTCCCTTCCAGTCATGGCGCGCGCCCACGACATTTGCCATCGCAGCAGCAGCAAATGACACACGCTGCCGTAGTAGATGAGGTAGCGATAATAAACTACTGCAGTGTCTAAGGAGATGACATGGGAAGTCCAAGCGTATTTGGCAACTTTGGTCGCCGATGAGGCCTGGGGAAGGGCCATTGAATCACTACAACTTGTGCGCGTTTTAGCAGAGTCACACTTCGATGTATGAACTCACGACTCTCTAGAGACGAGGCGTACAAGTCCCGCTCCTCCGGTAGCGAGCGAACACAGCAATGGTATGTAACCGGTCCGTTGCGATCGGAATCGACCACTGCCGCTCCCGAACCTTCTGTGTTAGTTCACTTGACGATGGCGGTACGCCCGCTGATATATATCCGTATGCGGCTCGCACTCACGTGTGTTCACAGATCAAGTTCTCGATCCGGACCTGTATACAACAAGTACACTCACCCGGGTCACGCCCGGGCCCACCACCATCCCCACACCCGGAGGCCCTCAACTCCACGAGAACGAGCCCAACAACTTCTGAGATGTTCCCAGCCAGGAATTTCCATCACTATACCCTACGCTGTCTCAGAAGAATCGATGAAAGATAGACGCGGAACTACACGGAATGCCTTGGAGGAGCGGGAGAAGATGATTGGGCGCCTGGCGTGAGTCGAGCAGGAGCAGCTTGAGCTCATCCGCGCGGTCAAGGATCCGTCGTGAGCGCCGTATAACGTTCGCCACGCCGTGCTCAAGCGACTTTCTCGCTTTGGCGACGAGCGGGGCGTCTTGCAAACGCTCGTGATGCAGGATCGAGCGGTGGTTGAAGAGGAAGCGATGATCATGGGCGAGCGTGGTCTCTGGGGGAAGTACACAGAGCGCGTTTGTCTTACCCAATTCACGACCGCAAGGCCTTGTCCCAATGAAACGATATGCACGCTCCATTGAACGTGTCAAGACCCCAGCAGCCAAGGCTCGGGTACCGAGAGCGAGCGTATGTGCGATATCGTTATGACGACCTCGTTCCGATGCGCATCTGCGTCTTCTCCTTGAGTCCGATGTCATCTCTACTAATCGCAGTGGTATCAGCTCACAAGTCCTCGAGGCAGGCTACATATGGTGATCGATATGACATCCTCGTACCGGCCCTGTCAGGGCGTGCGAGCCAAAGCCTTCGAAGTTGAACGAACGATTTGATGGTCCTACATCTCCAGTCTTCTCGAATCTAATCCGATACTGTTGGATCCCTCTGTACGCTTCTGTAGGGCCTCGATCCCAAGAACCGATAACCATATATGTGGACGCACATCTCACGGGGTCGTAACCGCAGGAATGGTGTTTGGGTATAAGTGAGGTCTTGTAAGCGCGGGGCCGGTGCCCCCTCAACCTCATCCATCCCTTCTTTGAACACAATGCCAACTTCCGGCAAGTCTCCAAGCTTGACATAGACTACCGGCTTTTCTGAGTACAGCATCTACGCAGATACCGCCGCGGCTCTCTGGACGAGAGAACCGGGTAAGAAGTCCGATCAGGAAGACGGCTTTTTGGACGCGTATGTGGAATCCGCGAGCACAGAGGACGAGGCGCGCCCTCGACACTGGGACCAAAGCATGAGCAACCTTCTCATCTTTGTGCGGACTTCCCCTCCGATCACGCCTACGTGTACGCTGATACGCTCTAGATCGGTCTGTTCTCCGCCACGGTTGCCCCCTTTCTGACCGACAGCTACAACGATGTGTTGCCAGACTCACTGGACGAGTCTTTGCTGGTCCAGATTCAGATCCTAGAAACGCTACAGAATCAATCGAATACGGCGGCCCCGGCTTTGCCACTAATCCAACCCTTCACGCCTAGTCCTCTGTCTGTTGGCTCAGGTACTCTATGGTTTTTTAGTCTGTCGACTAGTCTGTCAGCAGCGCTGTTGGCGACACTTATACAGCAATGGTCCCGGGCATACATGCGGCAGAACTCACAGCACAAGGCCGAGCCGTCTCGCGATCGGACCGGTATATACAATCTCATCTTCACCCGGATCGCTGCCGAAAGTTACCACATGGATCAACTCGTCTTCATAGCTTTCAGCCTCACACATGTGGCCGTCTTTACATTCATTGCTGGATTGCTGATCCAGCTCTGGGGCGTGAACAACGTATTCACTGCGGCCATGTTGATCTATTTTGGCACGCTAACAGCAGCATACGTGCTCTTTAGTGCCTTGCCGATCTTATCTCTGGATAAGAACCTTCCATACGTGACGCCTTTGACGTACGTGCACGCTATGTTTATCTACTCCTGCATCTGCCTCATTCCCCGATCGTTTCCAATGCTCAGATGGACTCGACCCTGGTACCTGGATGAAGTATCCACCACGTGCCGGTCGCTTGCGATCGATTGTATGACGGCTCAGTGGTGGGAAACACCGTATGTCAAGTCCGATGGCACGGGATATTGGAACCGAGTCTCGCACTTCAGTTTCGCTTGGGAGCACACAAAGCCCCGCATGATCACCGAGGGGAAGTTGGGTGCGCTGTTGTCGTCCGCATTGCATACGCTTGTGCAACCGGGGCCAGCGAGGAATACACTCAAGTGTTTGAATCAGCTCGCTTCCGATCAGGAACTCGTTCGCGCGCTATATGCACGGTGCCACTCCCTTGCTCATGGCGGGGCAGCCGATGATGGCGGGCACACTGCTTTCCTGCAGACGGTCTGTGTTCTAATGAATGCTCTCATGACGACTGAGATCGAGAAGACTGTCACGTATGGGTCAATCAACAACAATGCTTTGGGATATTTCATCGAACTCCTGTTCGCGTTGATCAGACACGGTGCTTCGGATCGCCGGGACGCACAGTGGTCTTTGAGGGCACGTCTTTACATCTTCTACCTCCGCTCGGCCCTCTGGTGGCACTGTCGTCGTGCGTCAAAGCGCGAGCTGCGTCAACCTGACCCAATCCCTCCGCTAGACAACCATGAGGTGCTCTATGTGCAAAACATGCACCCCGAGACGCTCTTGATCATGCTCAGCACACCGATGTACAATGGAGGGGATTCAGCCTCTGAAACGCCGTTTGACTTGATCCCTCTTCACGATGACGCGTGTTGTAGAGCCGGAAAGATACCAGAGCACTTCGAGGCTTGCAATCTCCTTACGTTGATTGCGCATATCTTGAGCGCATCTGAAGTAGATGCATCTGCTGTTCTCGATGATCCGCTCACCCAGCGCTTCTACCGGTTGATGCAAAACCGGAACGATGTGCAAAATTCGTACCTGGATGTCGAGGCCCGTGAGACGACCCCTTCGATGTGCGCGCCATCAGAGGCCTTCAAAGCAACGCTTAGACGAGCTGGATTGCAAACGTGGCTAGAGGATCAAGACGGAAGCTTCGCACGGCCAGACGATCTGCTTTTGAACTCGCCGGTTCTGACGCGAACCCTACGAGATAAATCAGACGAAGGAATCGAGATTGTGTTCACAGTTCTTCACCTCCTTCGTAGTCTCGCGAGGCTCACGACGATGAGACATGTAACTGTCTCGCAGGTAGAGCCGGGGATGTCGCAAGACGCGAACATTGTCAGTCGCCCTCGCACAATTCAATCACCTGCACGACCTGCTCTCGATGATCCTGAGGCGCAGATCTCGAGCCCCGCGACTGGCGATTACGCTGAAGCGAGCGCACACCAGCAGGTCACTGTCCTCGAGGGACATGCGCCAGATACCTCAGACGAGGATCATCCAGGAGCGCCTCCACGTGGCGCTAGAATATCCGTGCTCAAAGTGGGAAAGGTGGCTGCCGCTTTTTGCGGTAAGATGACGAGGGACAGACTTGAGAGGGAAGTAGCGAAGGTCCGGGATCAGGAGAACCCGGTCTTCGTCGATGTACAAGGAAGAAGCAACGGAGGTGGAGACCAAGTCAGACGTGTCGCTACTGTGCTTGGGCCCGTACCGGACGCTATGGCTGGAAATTGATATCATAGAATGATCTTCTTTCGTGAGTCGCAGCGCTCTGATATCTTGCAGGCGATTCATCGTCGCAGTGTACGTCTGAAGCCTGACATAGCTATAGCGTGTGTACGATATATTTCTGCCCAACATCCTCCATGCTCGGGACCGGGGATGCCGGTTCCGGCGCGGGCGTCTAAGAGATGGGCGGCGTATTGATGCTTTGATCGTCCTTAGGTAGTGCGCAGTCACCTGCCAGAAGAGACTGAGCTCGGGATGAGCACTGCCGGGAGTGTTCGGAGTGAACGCACCTTCCATTGTGTGTCTTCATAGGCGGCTTATTCAGGATGTTGAGAATTCGAAGGGCAGTGCCTACTGGAGAACACAGTATGAGGATCTTATGATGGTATGCCGGTGACGCAGGCGTATGTACCAGGCGCAGCAGTCTAGCTAAGCGAGAGCCACGGGGTAAACCCGCGGCATGAAGTTCCACCCGTAATGAGTCTGCGTGATATGATTAGCAAGATGATATTGTTTACTCAGGCATGACGCACCCTGAAACCTTCGGGAGAGTCATCAAATTCCACTGCTGTGAGGAAATGTCCAACCCCAGGCGCTCGTCGATATCATGGGTCCGTTCCAGTAGCCACAGTGATATAGAAAGGTGAGTATTGGCCGGTCATCCGAGAGGTGTCCGTGATCGCGGGCTGGGGTACTAGTTGCTAGTCTTCTCGCCGGGACGCTTACAGAAAGGGACGAGAGCTGTGAGCCTGGTGATGCGCGTGGTGGCGTGCAATCGGCGCGGCGCGATACCGAGCGTAAGAGCATTGCCTTGCATGGTAGTCATTGTGGTCTCGTATGACACTGCTCAATTCCGAGGTTCATACTCTGGGAAAGAAAGGGGAGAATGGTCATAGCGCGGGAAGACGCGGCCGGAGCGTCACGCCAGACGCTGCGAGATGGCGGTCTGCGGCAAGTTGCTTTCGAACCACAACCATCATTATGGATGACCAGGGATAACCGCCCCCGCCCCTACTCGCGCAGCAGTGGGTGACCGCCCATACCTTACTCGTTCCTCTGTAATCCACCATGCACACAAAGGACCGTTATCACACTCCGTTCTGCGACCCGCGCTGTACATGGATGTTGGTTGCGCCCATGTTCATCTGGACAGGTGCGGGAGATGCTACGTTTTCAAAGATCATACCGCGGGTCACGGTGCTCTTTGTCATGCCGTCAACGCATCTACAATCCTACACTTCTTTGTGAGAGCCATGGGTGCGCCCACTTGGTGGGCATGCCATCATCGGATGTGCGCGTTCCTTGCGGATATGCAGGTCCAAGATGCAGAAAATATATCTATCTTCCGCCACCGAGCTAGGTGAATCGGGTCTCCTAGGAAGATCATGGCCTGCCGGGAACTGCTCACGTCATGTCCAATAATCCTCGTTCGTTGTCGTTCCTTTCAGTGCCTCTTGCCTGACATTGATCACTGTCCTAGTACGTCCATCGGGCTCTCACAGAGTCCAATCACGAGACTTCTGTGGCATCGATACATCGATGTTGTCTTCGCGACCACCGCTACGTGCTATTGGTACGTACTATGCCATCGACTGCGGCGCTTTTCAAAGTAGGATATTAGAGGACTCCCGGCCGCCGGGGATGGGACGGAGAGTATATCATACTCGTACAGGGTTTGGAAGGGGCACCAGTTTCCCCTGCATACCTACGATGGGCACAAGCGACCCTACCTTTCCGCTCTACCCCATCGCAGCTATTCTTGCATCCGCAGGCGCCCTTCTTGTCCTGACGACTAGTTTTGTTCGCCAAAACTGGAACATCAGCGTGTGCTTCCTGTGTTTTTGGCTCTCCATCGAGAACTTCCTTGGTGGTGTCAATAGCATCATATGGTCTGACAATGCAGATATCAAATTATATGTGTACTGCGACATCGGTATGTACACATAAGCGATCAGCGGCATCGATTTCTACTGATTGCCGTAGTGTCACGTCTGGAAATTGTGACATTCATAGTCAAGCCTGCGACGACCCTGCTCATTACACGCCGTCTTTATCTTATTACTGTCCGTCGATCTGTACTATCTCCTGATGCCACAGAGGTAAGCTACCGAAGATCGAGACCATCATTTAAATGCTGAATACCATCTGCAGAAGCGCCGCACTGCGATCATCGAGTGGACTCTTGGTCTGGCCTTACCTTTGCTGCTTGCGGGCCCTGTGTGTGCGCCACGCACTCTAGAATCCCAGCCACACTCATTAACGAGGCTGGTCTAGACTATGTTAACCAAGACGGACGCTTTGCAGTGCACGAGGGTCTTGGATGCACAAATGCATCAGATGGGACTATACTTTACCTCTTGCTTGAGCAGTCTTGGGCCGTGATTTTGCCCTTTCTGTCTGTCACAATCTACTACCGTGCGTCATGTGGTGCCATCTTTGTCCGTCATGTGCACATGATGATCTTGATTATAGCGAGGGTGGTATGGATGTGCTACCGACAAAGCAAAGATATAAACCGTTTCCTACGCAGCAATGGCTCCGTCTCAAGCGCAAACTACTATCGTATACTTGCTCTGGCCAGTCTCGACATACTACTCACATTGCCATTCAGCATCACGAATATGATTCTGATTGTGTTCTCAGACATCCGGGTCACCAAAAATGCTACCATCTTCTATTTAGGTTGGGCGACCATACACGAGAACATGACGCCTCAGAGCGTACCTTATCCTACAGTCCAAGCTTTTGGACTGGCTACGGTTGTTCAATACTACTTTGCGCAGTGGACATCACCGATCCTTGCGTATGCCGTCTTTGGACTTTTCGGCCTTACAGTAGAAGCTCGTGCCTCCTACTGGCGTATCATCTACACCGTCGGTCGCCGGCTCGGATGGAAACCGACAATGGATGGTGGTCATACAAGTTCGCAGCTGGGCACGATAGAGTTTGGAGCACGGCAACAGGATACCAGTACGATGCTTGATGCAGAGATCGGGTGAGTTCGTCGAATCGCGTTCTTGTCGAGTCGTCTGACGGAGGTGCGACACAGTTCGCGTCCTGGCTTCATCAATGCCAACTTGGCTCCGGAGCCGGATCGCGAAGCAGCATTGCAAAGGGATTCGTCCTCGGATAGGAATGCGATGCACGAGTTTGAGCTGGCTGCGAAGGAGCCTGCTGAAGATCTTCGGGGATGGAGGTACGTGGTTCACAGGCCTGAAGACCGTGGTCGGCCATTCTTATTACACTATGAATCATGATCAGTCCAGATCAAGAGGTTTCGCGCGGCCAAGAGGCCGTGGGTTCAACGACGGGTAACATTGTTGAGACCCTCAAGCATTGAAGTGGAAGCTGGGAAAGCTGGTACCAACAGCGATGCTATGGCTTCTCCCAGAACATTTGTATGTTGAGACCTCACACTGGATGTGGGTTCAGGTACTGTTTAGGTCAGGATGTTAAGACTCAAGAGCGGTAACAAGAAATGCGGGTTCGCACTTGGACGAGATAACTTGTATCCAATTGTACACATACGCGTGATAGCATGTCAACGTGCTTATGATACAGTCCTCTTCGGGTCTTAAACAAAGAAGACACTACGTGCTAACGATTCTCGCATCCTACACTCTTTCTACTTCTTTTCTCGTGTCGGTGTCCGTCCGCCAAAGCTTGTTCAACGCCAGCGACACGGAAGAGCACAGCAAGCGGTGGGATAACCATCCTCGGATGCACACCCTACATACAGTGAGAGACGAGCCCGTACTGAAGCACCCATGGAGTGCTTGAGCCGAGTCTCGGCAGGCAAAGAGGTTGTACGTCTTGTGGATTGCGGACGCGTGTGTGGTTGGTGACGCCTGGTTGTACCGCTTCAGTAAGATGAAGAGCTTTTACCGAGATACAACACATACGTACATTCTCATTGCGCGGCCACCACCTACGGATATCGGTACTCCACGCCAGAGGGTCCGGGCGCGCACGCTCGCATGGAGTGCGCCGTCGATCACGGTGGTCAAGAAGTCCCGGCGGATGCGGCCATGGAGAAGGAATTTGGAGTTGAACGAAGTTAGCGAGAAGTTCCATGCAACTTGAGCGGCGCACAAGGACGTATCGGGCTTCTCCAACTCGCGAAGTTATCGGGGAAGTGGGTGAGAGTGAGATGGGCGTCGGATTCTCACGAGGGCCGTGTGTTCGAGCAGTACCGGATGGCGAGGAGGTATGGCGGACATCTCCCCAATCAATGTCTCCCTACGCGATGTCTCCAAACCATTGCACAGAACGGTCAAAATGGGTGACTCGTGCTGTACTTGCGTCTGGTTCAATCCTGGGTCTAGGTATCATGAGTATACTTGAACTATGCCTCCAGAAACGCGGCGTACCCAAGTTGAGAATGCGATGTCCCGAAAGTCAAACGAGTATAAACCGGCAGCTACACTCAATTTCTCTTCCCAGGCGCAACACAGTGTACAATGAGAGCTCTTGAAGAGACGGTATAAGCGTGATGGCCGGGTCAGGATGGGAGTTGGACGTTGGACGCTGACGCTAAGCTCGAACAAGGCCGCAGGAGAGCGGGAGCTGTCCCAAGCTTGGGCCGAGCGGCCCGGTCGGGCTCGCGCAAGGCAGCGCAAAGCCTGCGCGAACGCCTTTTCCTTCCAACCACTATCAGACGTGTAGACGCGCATGTACACCCATGCCAGACACCCTCTCCGATCTCGTGCGTCCGAAATAAAGGTCAACGTGTCGACTCCGTGTGAATACGTCTAGCGAAACTGTCAGAACTCTACTAGGTGCGGACGCTCGCCGATTGCAAGCTCGTGTGTCTCAATCGACATCGCCGACGAGCGTACGTATCCTTCTCCGCAAGAGATCCTGGCTGTCTCCACTTGGGAACGTGGACACATAAAGCCGGGCGCAAGTGGGCCTCCCAGACAGCGGGCTCGGGCGCGTCGCTCGGTTCAATGGCAACCAACGCGGGTTGCATTACGCAGGGCACCTCCGTTGCAAAATAGAACCCTGTTGGTAGCTCTACGGTGAATTCGCTCTGAAAGCCGTCGGCTCTTGTGCTATTATGAGCTATGAGCGCCTCAGCTCGGCTCATCTCCCGCTCAGATCAACATCTGTGCAATCAACACAGATCGTGCGCTGACACATTTTCATGCCAAACACGTGTATCTGGCCACATAAGGAGTGAATTCTATCATGCGTTCCGCGTTCTGCGTGTCGTTGGGATTCCACGAGCGGGATGCGATGCTTCGGTTGGACGTTGCTGTCAGTATACGAGACTGCAGCGTCATCAAACTGGATCGCTATCCTGCAAGCACGAGTCGACCCGACATGTCCGTTTTCAGTCATCCTAACGGAAGTGCTCATCTCACTGACTAGCTTCATCCACCAGAAGCGGCACCTAGGCCTGTTCTCGCGTTCGCCATCTTCGATCTCTTTCGGGTAACAAATGAGGCTCGCGCGTCGTACTGGAAACCACCCGCGTTGTGATTGATCGGTCTGGGTGCTGTGGACCTTGCACATGGGGCATGAAGACTCGAGTTCGAACTTGATGTAGTTCGGCAAGGCGCCTGGACGGCACGATCGCAGCATCTGTAACGATACTAGAACGGCGTAAGTTAGCGACTGCCCTGATCCCACCCGTTCTGACCGATTATGTCCAGGACTTGCGCTACTGGCTTGGACCAGCTGTCGAAACACGGTGTGCCGAAGAAGGACAATCATAGTTCGAGCGTGAGCGGGCCCGCGATGGGATAATCAGCGCGGGCTAGATGGGACTGAACTGGAGCAAAAGCTGTCACAGTATCTGAGTTTTGAGTGCGTGAGGGACCTGGTCCTTTCAAGGGGCTGGCATCGTGGAGAAGACCACAAGTCGTTTCTATTCCGAGGAAATGAATCCATAGATTCCCACATGTTATGCTAAGTTTGTGTTCTGTGACGAAGGAACAGTCAGATTCGCGATATCGTACACCCCTCTTTGAAGCCTCTCTTCCACACCTAGATTACTCCCCATCACGACACTCATGCCCAGGAAGCGCCAGCGTCGACATTCGGTGCAAGTCGGTGTGACCGTTAGCTTCTACCTACTCCGTCAGTTTCGCAGACGCCCACTCAAGCCTTCCCCTCCTGCTTCTTCACAATTTCCTTCAGCACCTCCACGATTACTTGATGGTCTTCCTCCTGCTTCAGCCCACTGACCACGATAACGCCCACCACGCCCTCGACACCTTTGACCCTGACCGGCCATCCACCACCATGAATCGCGTAGTTTCCCGCTCGCTCCCCCAGCACGTACTTAGCAGCAAAGGCGGACTCGTCGCCATTGTTCTTGTTATGCATGTACCACGTACTATGCCCGAACCTGAGCACCGTAGCGCGCTTCCGGGCGACCCAAGTGTCGTTGTCCGCCTGCGTTCCCGAACGCGTGGCTGTGTGGAAGAGGAGCTGGTTTGAGTTTGCGAGGGTGATGTTCACTACGGCGGGCCCTTGGAAAGCCAGAAGACGCTCGCGAAGGGCCGTGCCGATCTCCCAGACGTCGTCGGCGGTGAAGGTTGTGAGTGTAAGGGCCTGCTCGATCGACTCGATGGCATCCACATCGCGCGGAGGATCGGGAAGAGTAGCGCTGGACATGGTGGTGTTGGTAGTTTGGGTCAGAGTAGTGTTAGCTCTTGGCAAATGTTGATTCAATCTTATCGAGTAGCTCGTCGGCAGAAAGATCTCGAGTGCCCGCGGCGGGATCGGGATCCCGTTGATGACGCGCTTCCAGCTCTGTTACGTCACGCGTCGTTGATCGTGACGGCTCGCGTCTTCTGTTCCTCGAGTTGCGACACGAGCCTCGGATGCTCCTTGACCGCGACCATCACTAAACGTACCCACCCATATTCCGACTGGCGCCGTATCTGCGTTCCATCGCAACCTGAACAATCAATCTTTCTTATCTGAGATGGGACCTTGTCTGGACTTTGAACTCACGAGAACAAACTCGATTACCCTTCTGAAACGGCGCTCTTTATCTCCCTTTCACGCCATTATAATCTGACTACAGGAAGGTCGAAAGGGAAACCTACGCGCAAAGCCATCGGACTTGATGCCCAGTATGCATGGAGCATGCATTGATGGGCATCAAACGTATCGGGTAGGGAGGATGGAGAGGTGTTAGAGGATGGTAGACTCGTAAACGAGATCGTGCTCATGAAGAACATCGAAGTCAGTAGATCACGAAGTGCGTTCTCGCCTTTCACGCATCACTCACTACGACTGACATGAGACCTCAAGTTTAGTTCTAGCAGTACTCTACCCTCAATAGCAATGTTGTATCTCAGCTTGACGCGGACCGTATGGTCGTTCTAGATGTGTGCCTGCTTGCACCGCGCTTTCTTTGTGCCACGCGCCCCACGTCGACACTCTTCCACAATGTGCGAATCTGATAGGTGCTGATATGCAGTGCGCAAGAAAACATCCCTGGCGCTGCCAGGATTCTACTCCGCGGCCGATCCACCGCCTTTCGCCATTGCGGTCTTTGCACTTCTACAAACGCGGCCTACTCTGGAGAGGTAGAGTGCTTGCAAGTGGCGAAACGGAGAACGCCGAGTTGCAGACCTGACCTTGGTGGCTCCGGCTGGTCTCAAGGGTACTTCTAGCGGGCCCGACAGACCACGCTCATTCTTACGAGCACAGTGTCTCCGACACGACTGTGACCCGTGCAACCCACCTTCCCTCCCCGACTCTCCAAGCGGTACGTCTTTTATCTCCCGCGACAAGGATTAACTCCGACTTATCGTCACCTGACCCACAAGACTCATACGCACTGCGTTTGCAAAGGTACGTTTGACCCGAACTATCCACCGAAACACGTACTCATGACATGGACATTCTATTGCAGGAACATCTCGATGCTCGCACATCCTTCGCGCCTCTGCTACGACCCCCTCACACTCAGCAATGTGACTTTCGAGCGCTATGTTACGAGTGGCGCCGGAGTCGTTCTCGAAATCTCCATACAGATTATCCGAGACGCGATGAAATCAGCACCGCAGGACATCCATCTCATTTCGTGTCTTGCTTCCAGGCTAGCCATACGCCACCAGCGCTTTGGGACCGTTGAGGATAACGAAGAGCGCATACATCTGCTCCGCCGTGTCTTAGCATCTGCGCCAGGCTACAGAATCGACACCTCGCTGGTGCTGCTACATCTCAGCAACTGTCTATAGACACGTTATCGGCAATTCAAAATAATTGAGGATCTCGACACCGCTGTCTCCATGGCTCGCCGCGCCATCCACGCGACGCCGCGCGGGCACGTACGCGAGGCTGCGTGCTGGAGCAGTCTCGGCTCTGCTCTACATATGCGCTATCGCCACGCTGAAGTGGTTGAGGATCTACAGACCGCGAAACTGGCGGTTCAACGCGCCGTCCGCCTAGCCCTCGACGCAAACCCCGGCAACCTGCGGTATCATCTAGACAGACTCAGCAACACACTGCTCGAGCAGTTACCCCACTCTGGCAGCCTCAAGGTCGTAGCCTGCGTGATATCAGCATGCAAGCGCGCCGTCGAGCTAGCGCCCGAGGGAGACCGTGGCATGTCAGGTTATCCGGAATCCCTCGCGATCGCTTTTCTTGCCCGCTTCGTGTGTACTGGGAATCTTGATGATATCGTGGCTGCGTCCGCGGCGTTGCATGGCCCCATCAAGCTCACTTTTAATGGACATATCCCGAAACCGAGTCGCTCAGGCAGCTCTCACCGCCCCGGTGGCCTCAAGCGGCCTAAACCGGATTGCCTCAAGCCATGCGCGCTCGCACGACGGGCGCCGAAGAGCGCAAGACGGACTTCAGGATAAGGCCAAGCTCACGTACAAGAACGCCTATCGGTGAATGTGCTTACGCGTGCTTTGAGCTACATGCGTGGCCCACTTCGGCAACGCTCTCTGTATTGTAGACTATGATGTACGCATGTACCGTAGCCCTTCACCTTTACCACCACAATCTCGTGGCATAGTGATATAAACCCACTCCGACCCCAAGAGCGCGAGAATATACGAGTTGATACAGGGAACTAGCCTGATAGGACAAGAAAACAGCATGGCAGAGAGTATTATATAGAATGAAAGCAATCTGACCACGCCCGGCCCTCATACACTACCCTTCCACCGCCCCTCTCGAAGTTTCCTGAATACATCGCAATGAGCACTATATGCAAGATAACGGGCACGCGACTCACCACGGGAGCCCACCAAAGCACACCATCCCGCGCTCCGACCCTCCTTGCAAAGCCCATATCACAGGACAACAAAGCCGATCGGCGTTCGGAGTTGAAGCAAAGTTGAAGTACGACGATGTCCGCTGTGTCCCGCGGGGACGGTCATAACCAGCACAGTCGATATCGGCAGTGGCAGCAGGAAAGCAGGAAAGCAGAGGAGCTCGGCAAAGAGTTCGTTTCGTAGTATCTGAAGGGGGGGACGATGGTGATGGTGATGGTGTCTCTTGAGTCCTCGGCTCTCTCTACCAGCGCAGTCGCGTCAGACGAGTGATAGGCGCTCGAGCTCGTCCTGATGCAACGCCGCCCGCTTCTTCTTCTTCAGCATCTCCATCTCGGCGTAGAAGGCGCCGGTTCCACGCGCGAGCCAGACCTAGCGTGGCAGAGAATGCATCTGCCCCATCCACCGTCGAGTCGGAGTGAGCGGTAGGTGGTCGGATACGTGGACGAGAGCTGGTCGCGGTAGTCCGCGAGCATGCCGTATTTGCTCTTCCCCCTTGCCCGCCATCGAGAGCACTGCATGATCGGGGGTCACTTATGATAGGTCGAGGGGAGGGGTGTGTATGTGTTTCGGGCTTTGGCTACAATCTTCGGCACGCAGCTACAGCGCAAGAGAGTTCTGGCCGGTCATATTCGTCAGAAAGTAGTAGAGATGGCCGGAAAAAATTGAAAGCGCACCTGTAGCATACACAGAACCGCTCCTGTCCATCCTTTTCCTCTGTGACTTCCACTCGACGTCTCCGCCCGAATCGCCCGAATCGAGTCATAGCGGTCCTCTGAGATCGGAGTCGAAGTGGGGACGGAGTCGGACGCGTCGTCTACGCGACGAGCCGATGCGTAGATGAAAACCTGGCAATTTTCCTGTGCTATTTGCTGCCGTCTAGAGTGGTGCGTGTGCTCATTTCCGCGGTTGAGCCCTCTTGGCCGGAGGGCGAAGAGTTAGGTATTGGATTTGGGTAGTATTGTCGGCACGCAGTCGAACCGCAAGGGGATATAGTCGTGGCCTGTCGTAGCGGTAGTTAGACGCCGTTGAATATCATACCAAAAGAATGAAAGGCACACCTGCAGCATCCTCAGCACCGCTGCCCATCGTCTCTCGTACCCGACTTCCCCCACCTGAAATCAACGCGCAAGCCTTAGTATGGACTTGACCGGCGCGCGCATTGGGCACAACTAGCGTACAAGCACCGTATCCTCGGTTGTATGGGACTTGTGCGAGCTACCGGAGACAGTCGGTGGCGGGCAGCGCAGAGGGATCCAGCCTGAGGTCAATCGCCGGCTCTGTTGGATTCCTCAAAATGCCGGACACTCTTGTCCTCCAACCCGCCACCCGGAAGCCGTGGTGAGGTACATCACATATGCATAGAGTAAAAGGGGCAGATAGGGCCCAGTCAGACGTAGCTGGATAATGCTGATGGGTGCTCTGCCTGAGCGCGCACTCGCAAGCGGCAACTCTGGGTGACTTCTTACAGCTTCTTACGTCACGCGTCGTTTACCGTGACATCTCGCGTCTTTCGGTTAAGCGCACGTCGACGTCGCTCGTTCGTGTTCCTTCTACCGCCATGGCATGCTGTGATAACACCCAATTCCTACGTCCAAACTATTGACCGGAGAACCTACGAAGCTGTCAGATCCCGTCTCGCACTCATGAGCCCTTACTGTATATACCATCTCGACCGCATGGCATCGGCGGGAGCGGGAGCAGCGGTGATCCGCAGACGTTGTGAAGGCGGGGCCATCTTCAAACACGTCGCCTACTTGGTTGCAGTGCGCGTGAAACATGTGACGTATCTTCAAGCATTCTGTTGGCGAGTAAATCAGTCCCATCGTCAACTTCAATCGCACAGTTGATGGGTCACGGCAGGGCCCGGTGCCGAGGTAGTACACGCGGCGATTGGCCAGGAGCACATCTTGCATCGTGCCACCACAAGCGCAACGAACTAGTCTCCCCTTCGCTACTATCCCGCGAACTTGCTCGCACTGGCATAGCGTAAGCCCGTGGCTCCGTCATGCACGTCCACAATGGCGCTCTTCAACCGGCCACAGGGCGAGCGTGGGGTCCTGCACGTGGCCTCTCAGAGAGAGCATCACAATCATTCGGCACGAATGGATTGTCAATTGGCGCCTATGCCTATGTCAAAGATCGAAATACTCATGTAAGACCCCGCTGGAATCAAGCAGCCATGGTTGGTACGATGTAGCCGATGACATTGGCTCTACCGATATTCGATGCATTTTGAGACCATATCGCTCGAGATACACGCCGGACCCGGGACGAGTGCGCGCATCGCAAATGTAACTTGAGTTGCGTTTCCTGTGTTCCCCCCGTGATACATCTGCAACTATCATGAGTCATCATCTTCTCCCGCCATCATATGGTCCGCGACGACATGGCCGTGCGTGCAGTGCCTAACAGAACTGCTCGATGTATACTCCTTTGAGCGAATGCCTCTCCCGCAGAGGGTCTTCACTTCGAATACATGTTTTGACGATGGGGAAGAACTGACTCTTTCAGCACCGATTGATTCCGCCTGACCAGTCATAGTATCAACAGCGTTGTCTACACGGACGCGATAGTCCCACAGGAGATCGCTTAAGAGCCTCGAGCGTACCGCCAGTCACTGCACAAAGATGGCACGCGCTGTTGATCCTACGTTTCCTCTGCTATCCGTAGCCGATTTCTTGTCGGCCGTCATGCTACTCCTGGTCCTGCTTACCAGCTTCGTGCGAAGGAGCTGGAACTTGGGAGTCACCTTCCTCTGCGTCTGGCTCTTCGTGAATGGCCTGACAGCCGGATCCAACCTCATCATCTGGTCCGACAATGCTACCATCAGACTCCACGCATACTGCAATATCGGCAAGTCAACATCACTCTCCCTCTGAGGCGAGTCCGCTGAGACATTTCGTCCTTGTGACAACTAGTGTCTCGCTTGCAGCTCGTCGTATTCGTCGTCAAGCCCATGGCAACTCTTATCATCATACGCCGACTCTACATCATCGTCAGCGTTCAATCAGTGGAACTGCCCAGCGTGAAAGCGGCAAGTCTCATCTTGCTCATGCGCGATTCTCCCATCTCATCCTACTGCCCGCTGCGCCAGAGACGTTGGAACCTGCTCGTAGAATGGATGCTGGGTCTCTTCGTTCCCTTGATCGTCGCGGGTCCTATATGTAAGCTGTGAATAGATGAAGAGCCGCCTTGTACTCACGGAATCGCAGACTACGTCAATCAAGTAGCAGAATTTCAAGTGATAGAGGGCTTCGGTTGCGGCAATGCCACCGGCGGCTCTATCCTGCTCATACTTACATTGCAGTCGTGGGTCATCATACCGCCGCTCATATCCGTCACCTTCTACTATCGTGCGAATCTGTCGCTCTTTTCAACAACTCTGCGTTACTGACGTCGGTCTTCGATCACTGTACATAGCCAAAGTCGCGCGAATGTTCTACTTGCACAACAGGGACATCAACAAGTTCCTGCGCAGCAACACCTCGGTCTCCCGCTCCAACTACCTCCGCATGCTCGCGCTCGCGAGCGTCGACATCCTGCTCACTTTGCCGTTCGGCATCGTAAACACGGTGTTGGGCACTGTGGAGGGGATCGCCACGCAAGGCAGCTTCCCGTTCTACCCGGGGTGGGCCGAGATACACGCCGACAAGGCGCCCGTGGCCATATCGTATGAAGAGCTGCGTGCGTTTGGTATGTTCACGTTCGCAGGGCAGTACTTCGAGTACTGGACCTCTCCCGTCCTAGCGTTCACGATCTTCGGTCTCTTCGGTCTTACGAGCGAGGCTAGGACGTCCTACAAGCGCATCGCGTACGCTATGCTTGGCTGGGTTGGGTGGAAGCCTTCTCTGAGAGCTTCAAACGCGTCTGCACTGGATACGATGGAGTTTGGAGCGGGTCCGTTGAATACAACGGTCCGCGATCATGAGAAGGGGTGCGCCAGTCTTACCTTCTCCTCAGTAATGGATCTGATCAATGCATACAGTTTTCACGAGAGCTTTGAAGACGCCAACGTGGATTTGCCTGACCTCAAAGCAATGGCGCCGGATGCTGATGGTACGAGCGGTGAACTACCGGGGAGAGCAACCGGAGGACGGGAAGAAGGCGTTGTCGGAGGGTCAACTGAGTCAAGCGGATCACGAAGCGCAACTGGTCACGTACCCGTGTGTGGTTCCCTGGACATACTGCTATTGCATTACTAATGATCCTCTGTGCAGCTTTGACGGCGCAGCTTGTGCTTGTTCCATGTAAGTACGAACAATGTACATATGTCTTGTCACCTTCGGCCTCAAAAAACACAAACTTCATTCACCAAACGTTTCGAATTCGGAATTCGGAAGTGTCATTGCTTGGAGTGTACCCTGACATAGTACGCATTTGAAATGTGATGCATTATGACAGCAGAGTGCGATAGCAAGAACACAACGAACGGAAAGCATGGGACGAAAGCAGACTGACAACGTGTAAACTAACCCATGAGAGCCTCAGAAGTTTCCTATAAACATCACAATAAGCCTCATGCGCAAAATACCACGAGACACGTCGGAACTCACCATCAACCTCGGCAACCTATGCAAACGCGCAACGTTCACGATGGTCTTCAATCTACGCCGCACCTCCGCGCGCCCGATAGTAAGCGCATACGTCCCAGAGCACGCACAGTGCTTCGACAGATCGTCCGAGCGAATCTGCTTGCAGCGCGTGCACCTCAAGTCCTGCTGCGCGAACGAGCGCTCGAGCGCATACACGACCTCCAACAGCTCGCTCTCGATCGCCCCACGGTCGTACTCGCCCCCACACGCGCCGCACCGCCACTTCGGCGGCGGCCCGTCCCTACTCGGCGGCGACAAGTCCGGATCTCTGCAGAAGTCGAACTCGCGGAGGGCGTCGCAGTGCGTGCAAGGGACATGCGGCAGACGGAGCGGGTCGCACGGGTTGCGGAACACGACGTTATCGCCGAAGGCCTTGTATCCCACGAGCTCGAGCGCGTTGCGCTTCAGCACGCCGACCTCCGCGCTGTGCTCCCGCGCAAGCTCGAACACCGCACACGCGAACTTGACGAACTCCAGCGCCGCGTCTTTCATGACCAGGTGCCCGCCCGCGAGAACGGGGAACTCGAAGTATCGCGCTTCTTCGGGATCGTCCACGTCGGCGCTTCTGAGGCGCGTCTGTACACTCTCGATAGCGCGGAACAGCTTGCGTGTGAGCCTCCGAGTGATGAAGTCGCGCGCGGCATCGATCTCCTGCGCCTTGCCCGCCTCCTGAAGCGCCGGATCGGGCGTACCGTTGGGCAATACACGGAGCGGCGCGCGGGAGCCCGCGTTGGCTTTCTGTCGTACGCGGTACATCTCAACGAGGAAGTACTGAACGAGTGCCGCAAAGTCGCGTTGGAACACGGGCGGCAAGTATCGCTGAATGTCCCAGCGCATCTCGACGGTGAGCTCTTGCGGCGGCTCGACGGCCAGCGGGTCTTCGCATACGACGCCGCCGGCGTTCGCGGGGTCCATGAAGAGTAGGAAGTCGTAGAAGCGCTCAGTCCGAAGGTAGAGGTGCTCAAACAGCTCGTGGGAGGTGGCTGCAGTAGTGATGTACGTCGCATAAGCATGGGCGGTTCCGGGCGGCTTAGACGTGACGAGTAGAATGCGCCCAAAATCAGCATAAACGACCTGCGAGCCCAAGCGCTTGAACTCGGCCAGCAGCTGAATGAACGTCTTGCGCATAAGACCATGCACGAACCGATGGATGCTCGGGTCGTACATGCACGACGCGCGCGAGCTGATCCAGCGGAAGAAGTGGTCCACAGCAAGTGTCGCGGGCGTGTCGCTCCCATGACGGATTTTGTCGAGCAACCACGCGCGCACCATGCTCTTGATGAGCGCAAAAACCTGTGGCGAGACGTTCGACTCTCCAAGCGCCAGATCGCGCCCCGCCTCGCCCTCGGCAAACTCGTCGATGGTATGCGAAACGGCATCAAAGGCCGTCGTGCCGCCGCTACCCTCGAGCTCGTTGATCGCCACAGCGTGCAAGACAGAGTTGACGGCCAGATTGCGCACGGTGATCTCGAGACAGACGTTGGCATAGCAGCCAGGTGCGACGAACTCGGTATTGGGGAGCTCCTCCGTGAAGCGCTTGTCGTCCTCGATACCGCCCAGATCCGGCTTGTCGGAGGGCGACCACCAAAGCACCCCATCCTGCGCCACGACCCTCCGCGCGAAGTCCATATCGCAAAGGAACAACAATTGATCGCCATCAATGTGGCCCACGGGGACGTCGTAGTACTCCGCGAGCGCGACCATCCTATCGACGAACAGCCCGAGCGAGAAGTACCGCCGCAGCATCATCTTCGCCACAGTGGTCTGCCACTGCAATCCGTCGAGGACATGGAATTGGCGGCCTTTGGGCATGGTCAAGATCGGGAAGCGTGCGAGCTTGGGGACGAGCGCGTCGAAGTACGTCTGTTCCTTTGCGGAGGAAAGTACGATGGTGTATCCCTGTCCTTCCAGAAGCCCGAGCTCGCGCGACAGAGCTTTACACGCCGTCGCGTCCGACGAATGATACGTCGTAACAAACGCGCCCTCGTCCGGATACGGCACCGTCCGGCTTGCCCCCTCCGCCTTCCTCTGCTTCTCCAGCAACTCCGCATACATCTCCCTCAATCTTGGAATAGGCTGCCTGCGCGGCGCGGGGTCGACGATGTGCACGCGTGCGGGTCCAGTGGCGGGGAATATGACGAAGACGTGGATGTCGCCTTTGGGCGAGCAGGCGTGGTAGAGCAGGAGGTATTTGCCCTTCCCGCCGTCGAGGTAGCGCGTGCGGTGCTGCATGTGGCCGCGATCGAGGTCGTTCAGGTCCAGACCGGTCACTTGGGCTTTCGTGAGCGTCATCCCGACGTCGTCGGGCGCACAGGTCTTGCCGAGCTTCAACATCGCGCGCACAGCAAGAGGTATCTAGTCATAGCGTTTTGTCAGCGAGGGTTAGAGGTCGCAGAGAGATGAGGACATACCTGCAGCTCATAAACACCATCCACATTCGGATCGTTCATAAGCCCCAAGAAATGCTCCTGTCCCTCCTGGAACATCGTCTCCTCCACGCTAAAATGGTACAAGTTCGCGCACGGGAACCCGCGCGGCAAGATCTTCGTGACCTTCTTCACATCATACTGGTCGTCCATGAACGTCCCCTCCCTCGGCTCGTTCCTGAAATGGATGTAAAACTCCCGCTTGACCTTGAGCGCAAAGTTCACGAGGTCCCCGTCCACCCTCAGCCACAGCGTGAACTTCCCCGGCGCGCGTGTAGGGCGGAGCTGGACGACGTCCCACCGCGCATGCGCCGTCCGTTTCTTCAGCGCGCCCTTGAACATCTCCGGCACGACGTCCTCGTCCGGGTCGACCTCGCGCGTCGCGCGCTGCCGCGCGTGCGCGACCCACCGGTGGTGCACGGCGTACACGAACCCCGGATAATCGCCCGCCTTCTGGTACTCCTCGAACACCGGCGCGGGCTCGTTCCAGTCCACGACATGCGCGTCCTCCTCCAGCCCCTTCTTCTTCTTGCCCTTCTTCTTGCTCACGACCGCTATCCGCTGCGGCCTGAGGCCCGTCCCGATCGTCGGCGCGCCAAAGTCCTCCATATCCCTCTCCTTATCCCCCTCTCTGCGCCCACCAAACGCGTCCCGCTCGAGCTGCCGCTGCTGCTCCTCCCACTCCTCAACGCTAACGCCCGCCTTCTCCGCCTCCTTCGCCTTCCTCTTCTCGCTAACCTCCACGCTAAACGCGAACCTCGTCAACGCGTTCTGCCTGAACCGGTCCTCCTTCATCGCCACCCTCCTATGCAACCAGTCCGGATGCCGGATCCGCGGCACGGGATTATCGACGTGCTGCATCGCAGCCGGGATCGTGATCAGCTTCTGAATGACCGAGCCCAGCCGCTCGATGTAATAGTTCCAATCGAGAATATCGCGCAGCTCGAACGTCGACAATGACGCGTCCTTCAGCCATTTGCGCAGATACGTCCGCTTCACGCTCTCCTCGGCGCTGAAGATCGCCACGGGCACCGCGCGCTCCGTCACGGGCGTCCCAGCGGGGCGCGCAGAGATGATGAAGCGGCACGCGAGGCCTTTATCCTTGACCATCCCGTCGCCCAAGAACTCCGCGAGGCGCTTCGCCGTCGATATGCTCGTGCTCTTCTGCCCGCCGTACTCCTTCAGCGTCTTGCTCATGCTCCTATTCTCCGCGATCAGCTCCACGAGCTCCTCGTCGCTCAGATCCGCCGCGCGGCTGAACAGCACGTTCAGCCATCGGTCGGCCACTTCCGCCACGGCTGCGTATGCTTCGGACGTTGTGCTGCCCAGGAGGAAGCGGTCGAAGATCTGGGACTGGAAGATCTTGATGAGCTGCAGCTCGCCGCGGCGCTTCACCTCGAAGCCCTTCAACTCCGCGAGCGACCCATCATCATTGAACACCGCGTATCTTTTCTTCAGCAATTTATCCTCCTCCTTCGAGCTCGGCAGGATCATCGCGCGGTACGGCCCGTCCAGCTCGAAAAAGATCGAGTTCTCACTGTGTATGACGTACTCGCCTGTATCGGGGTCGAGGTCGTGGTACTGGTGGTTCGTGTACTGGTCGTGCACGAGGTGGTTGAGCATCGTGCAGGGGTACGAGAACGCGACGCTCTTCCCGCTCCGGAGCTCGAACTTGAAGTTCTCCGGGAACACGCCGGGCAGCATGCACCATATCCCGTCCGTATCCAGCTCCAGCGGGCGCCCAATCTGCTCGACCAGCTGCCGTGCCATCTGGATGATGCTCGCGCCCGTGAGGCACGTCACGCCGGCCATCTCCATGCTGTGCCACCGCGCGCCCTTGCGCATGACGTAGCCGTAGAAGGAGTTGAGGATGCACTTGTGCGCGAGCTGCAACGAATCGTACACGACGATCAGCTTGCGCGCCTCGTCCACCTCCGCCAGGCTCGCCCCGCCCCCCAGCAACCCATCCAGATTCTTCTTCCACGTCTTATGCAGCCCCTTGTACTCGTACCGCCTATCCCTAAACCTCCGCACAGTATCCACATAGAACGGGTTCTCCCGCTGACAAATAATCGCCTCGCGCGTCACGACCTTCGTGTCCTTCACCTTCTTGTACACCTTCCGCGAGTAGTCGCCGAGCCGCTTGTGCAGGAGCGCGGTCTGCTCGGACGGCGCGAGCTCGTGGAAGCGCCGGCTGGGGAGGCCGGTGCGTTTGGGCGGGAAGGTCTCTTGCGATAGGGCGTGCCGGATCATGTTGTACTCGTCGCGCCGCGCGGGGAAGAACTCGCCGCGCCAGGCCCAGGGCAGGCGGCGGTCGCACGTCTTGCCTGGGCGGTTGAAGTCGCACGTCGCGCAGACGCTCTCGTCTACGACCGAGTCCGGCTGCACACCACATCACCACCACACATCAGCATTGCACCCTCAACGCACATCATGAGGAGAAAACGCACCTGGAGCCGGTTGCTCAACATAATATTCGGATACATCGCGGCGACGTCCAAATGATAAATCAACGGCTTATCCTTCCTGAGCGGATTATCCCGCATCTCCTCCAGCTTGACCTTGATCGCCTCTTTGACCGCGTCGTAGTTCGTCACGTCCTCGAGCGCGATCTTGCTCTCCTCGACGATGCAGAACCGGAGCGCCGCGTCCAGCTCGTTGATCAGCTGCGTCCACGCATCAGCCTGCGCCCCATGGTGTAGAGCAGACGGACTGCGGGGCGTATCATACCTTTTGCGGGCCCTTCGGCTCGATCTTAAACTCGGTCTCGATATCGCTCCGGAACACGCCCGCCTCGAGCGCCTCGACGTGCCCGCCGACGTACGTCTCGCTGGCCACGAGGTGGCCCTCGTACATCGAGCCGCTCTCGTCTTCGTGCCGGTTCGGCATGATGATCGCGCCGCGGTACGCTTCGACCTGGAGCGCGCGCGTCAGCATCAGACTCGTCCATCTTGCGTTCGGAATGGGGGCGAGAGGATATGAGGGGGAGTAGAGGATACGAGGGAGAGTAGAATGCGCAGGGCGCGCAGCGAGGCAGGAGGGCAAGCAGCGAGGCAGGAGGAAGGAAAGACGCACCATCAACAACGTCTCACACAGCGTCCCCGTGCCCTTCCGCAGCACCTCGTCCGGGCACAGCGGGATGATGTTGCACAGGCTGAAGATGAACGGGTGCACGTATTTCATGTAGAGGTAGTACGTCGCCACGGCGTCGGAGACGGAATATTGCGCGAGCGTTTGGGGTTGGTCGAGGGCGTAGCTGTGGGTGGGTGGTGGGGAGAGGGTTAGCGAGCGGTCAATGGAGTATAGCGAGCGGTTGGGATGGTAGCGAACAGAGCATGATCGAGTGGGATAAGGACAATGGTGGAGAAGGAGGGACAGAGAGAGAGAACGCACGGCGTCATAAGCTCCGGATCAAGCTCGATGGGGTCGTACCCGAGCTTGGCCACCGTCACGGCCTTCAAGCCTTGCGAGCCTTGGGGGAGGTAGCTGTCGCGCTTGACCCATCTGTGAGGGCAAAGGTTAGCGTGGGCACGAGCGACGGAGAGCCGGGCGAAGGATATCAAGAGGAGGTTAGTGTCAAGAGAGCGGTGTATAGAGAAGAGGAAGGAAAGTTGAAGTTGAAGAGAGGAGAAACGCACCGAAAACAGTCCATATGCACACACGTCCGGCTCTTGTACTCGTCCTCCGCGTCCCTCGCAAACCTATCCCCACCATCACCCATTCCCCATCAGTATCCCCTCCCATTTTATCCTCTATTTAGCATGAGAAGTAGACGCACCCGATCTCCTGGAACATATCGATCCCGTGCGCCTTGGACCGCGCATCGAGGAACGGCATATCGAAAAAGTCGCCGTTGAACGTCGCCATGACCGTCGGGTGCACCGTTTGCATGTGCGTGAAGAAGCGCGTGAGGGTCGCTGCCTGCTCTGCGTCAGCATTCACTCTCTCAGCATGACACGCGAGGGAGGGGAGGGAGGGGACGAGAGAAGGGAGGGAGAGGATGAGAGAAGACAAAGGGAGAGGAGGAGAGAAGACGAAGGGAGAGGAGGAGAGGAAGGGAGAAGAGGTACCTCGTCGGGCTCGTTGAAGATGGTAAACGGGCCCTCGTACCCCTCCTTGGGCGTGTACTCGAAGTCGTCGATGTCCTCGCTCACGATCTCGCGGTTGGTGATGAGGTAGCCCTGGCCGTCGATCATGTAGGAGATCATCATCACTTGGTCCACCGCGCTGTCCGGGAACTACTCGCACACACATCAGCAATCGCCCCGCAAGGACTCAAAGACGGGAGGGAGGGGGAGTACCTTGAGCGGCGCCTTGGTCGTCTCGATATCATACGCCACCACAACCGGATCCGGGCGCCCGACGCGCTCCACAATCTGCTTAAAAGACGGCTGGCCCGCGTTGAACGTGACGCCGTACCACAGCCCGACGCGGATCTCGTTGTCCATCGCCACGCGCAGGTAATACGGCACGTCGTACTCGCGTATGTCGACTATACACTCCTTCGGATCTTTATCGCGCGCCGTCGTGTCCTCCGCGCCCCACGCCGCCGAGGAGGAGGGTTGGTCGACGTCCATGTACGATGTAGCAGAGGACGTGGCGGCGACCATATCGGCATACGCGTCCACCGCGCTCCGCTTCTCCGCGTTCGCCGTCGCAAGCGGCAGCAGCTCCCTCCTCACCCCAAGCAAATCCTGCACATTCCTAAAACAAAGCTGCAAAAAGGTTCTCCTCGCGCCCAGCAAATGATTCGGCTGCTTCAGATCCTCCTTCATCTCCCTTACAATCCGCGTCACAACGCCTTCATGCCTCTTCACCAAATACTCCTCCACGACCGTCTCTGTCCCGGGCAGCACGCCGATATAAAAATACGGCTCGTACGCGAGCGTGGCTTTGAATGACGCCGTGGAGGAGGCGGTGATGAAGTAGTAGTCGACCGCCGCGCGCCCCGAGGGCCAGTCGGCGTCCTTGAGCGTCGTGGGGTGCATATTGATCAGCCAGCCCTCGCGCCGCGCGCCCTCGCTCACGCGCGGGAAGCCCATCTTGGCGTCAATTTCGTCTTCGAGCGCTGTGCGCTCGAAGCGCTCGGCGAGCGCCGTGCCTTCGTCGTCGCGCGCGACGGGGACGGGGTTGGATGAGGAGCCGCCTCGGCCACGGCCGCGGTTGCCGCGGTAGGAGGAGTTGCCACCGCGGAAGGAAGAAGAGGAGCCGCGGTAGGAGGAGGACGAAGAGCCGCGGAAGCGGGTGTTGGTGCCGCGGGCCATCGTGTGGGTGGGTGAAGACGGCGGCGGAGTGGTGGGGAACACGAACGAGCCGCGTGGGTGGGGGAGACGCGAGGTGTCACGGTAAACGACGCGTGACGTAACGACGTAACCGCGCAGGCGCGCGTTCTGCTCGAGCATGTATTGCTTGCCTCTCACGTTCCGTGCCTGTGCGACGTGCCTCATTGCATCTGCCGCCTTTTAGGTCGAAGCGCGGAGGACGAGCCCATACCGACGCCCAAGGAATACGACCGAGGCCAGCGACTATTCCGGGTCTCTCTACGCTGCCCGTCACCGATAGCTCGCGCGAGGTCAATCCGGACGAGGGTACAGGGCATGCGTAGTAGCCGCGCCCTATAAGCGCGTCGTGGAAAGCTCGCTCCATGGTTACACGGCGACTCGGGCGTGTAGAGGAGGGAATGGGAACTAAAGGGAGGTGCTACAGGTACGCTCCCATCCTCTCTCTGCCTCGTCTGCCGCATCCTAACGACCACACCAGATCCCTTCTACTCTCGCGGCTCAACTGCGTACCGGTGACACGACGGTATCCGGACTCTCAATGGCGGATAGGGCCAGACAGCGCTCTCTTCTCTCACGCCGGCTCTCGTCCATGATCGTCCCCGCGCGCGCATCGTCCGGCCCCGCGCCGCGCACTTGACCCTCAGTTGCGGAAGACGTACGCCGAGACGGCGGCAGAATTTCAGGTCTCTTGGCTATAGAAAGTGTGCGTCGCGGCAGAGATGCTGGAGCAGCCGCGGACAGCGCTGCATCAGAGGACGCGTATCATTCATCGAGCTGTCGGAGAGTCAGAAATACACCATCTCCCTCTTCTCTATTCCCCACTCCTCGGGTACGAATCAAATGTTCAACCGCGCTCGTTCGTCCCCGTGCGCTCACGGCTCCCAATCTTGGCCTCCCCGGTTCCGGAGGACGACCGCAACCGTGACGTAGAAGCAGCCGCGGCGCGATGCCATCGATGCGGTTCTATCGATGATTGACGAGTGTGTCGAGGACGAAGCGGGACGCGACTGTGAGTCTTCCAGGCATGAGTTGTAACTGCTTGACCTAACCACTCTCACGCTCCAGATGCAGTTCTTCGAAGGCTATCCAGATAGACGCCTACCGAACAGCCTTGCGAGATGTCGTTCCGCAGCTTCCAACCATCCGGTAGCGGGCCACCTTGGACGGCCCCAGCTCGCACAAGAGGGGTTCTGTTTAACCTATGCGTTCCGTCTTCGAGGACTATCCGTACCCGTTCCCGTGCCATCAATCACCCGCGCCAACTCGAATGTAATGGATATCCCATATGCGGTGCCGCGTCTGCCTCTCCCGTCCGATCCGCTGTTCGGTGAGAACCCGCGATTCTGGCTGATACCAGCTGCGCCTGGTCCACCCGTTCGCTATCAAGATGGACCCGTCATCTCCTCCCCAAAGACGCATACTCTACGTGCACTTCCGACTCGAGTTTGAATTGTTTAGATTTTCCTCCTTTCAGCGTTCTTCCGTAGGCACAGAGCTTTACAGACTAAGTGCCATGCAGTAGCGCCGCGATGCCTCGTTGGCCTCCACCGTGATAACAAGCGGGTCAAGGCGGGCCAGCTAGCGTTCCTCGGTGGGCGCGTGTCTGATAAAATTCGGACGGCATCAGGCCTCTTGTCGAAAGGCTCTTCGACCGCTGTACCCGTCCTACGCCCACCCCGAACGAGTCGGTACTTAAGGTGAGCACAAGAGAGTCATTGTCGACTCTTCACGTCCCCAAGAACTCGCCGGACAGAATGACTGCCCCTGGTTCTGTCTCGGCAGAGCGACTGCTCGAGATTCGAGAGGACGTGACGGCCATCGTGAACGAACGTGTCTTCCCGGTATTTGTCGAGACCATCTTATACAGTACGTGAGCCGTGGCTGACGCTAATCCCACACACATGCTGACCTTCTGCCCACATCACAGCACTTTACTCGGTGCTCATGATCACTCATCTCATCAAGCACAGGTGCGTGGAATATCGATCAATCTTGTACAGTACGATCCGGAAGTAGACCCCGATGGCGATCCAATCCTCTAGGAACAATCCCCGCCATGCACCAAGTATCTTCGCTCTCTCTATGTGGCTCTATCTGCCGTGCACCGTCTGCTGGGCACTAGACTTCTCCCTGCTGTGGACCGATCTCTACCGGTATCTCCCCGGGACTCTTTCTCCCGCCGCCACGAGCTCATCCGACAACGACCGACTCGCGCTCAACAACTCCAACCGCATTTTTGTGCGCGCGATCTGCGGAGGGACAGTGGTGCGTGCGCAGAGTTCCGGTAAGTGTCTGATGGTAATGGCAACTGAGAGAGTTCCGATTAGTTCGTCTTTTGCGATGTAGTCGCGATGTGGAGGGCGTACGTGCTTTACGGGAGACCGCGATGGCTCGGGATCGGTTGTCTGTGTTTATTCGCCTTCTCCTCAGGTACGTAAATACTATATAGGTTCACAGGTCCTGAACTTCATTTGACTAGTTATGTATACCATGGTCGGCGTCTTCGATGCCACAACGCTGTTGAGGGACCCGCCGTCCTTCGCAAGCCACCGTTTCACACCAACAGCAGCGCTAGAGCTCACAGCGTTCTCGACGACCCTACTGGCCCATCTGGGCAGCACGATCCTGATATCGCGCAAAGCATGGTCAGCTCTCTGCGTCCGGAACGGACTCATCATGCGGTCTCTGCTGACGGCAGCATCCATGCGCGCTCGGAACTTCACAGGATACACCGCCGTTGGCTGCGGAAGCTCATCGACACACAGAACGGATCAGGCGGCTCGAACGATAGCAAACCCATGGTCGTCGTATACACCGTCATCGAATCAGGCATCATGTACACCTCCGAGTCGCTTTGGGCGGTATACGTATCCACGGGCTGGCTCAGCGACTACGGCAGAACCTGGACAGGGTTCTGGATGTACCAGATCTCAGTACGACTCCCTTTGTATTTGCACTTCCGACGTACCGGATACTGACAGTTGTTTCTCCAGGGGATGTACCCCACATTGGTCGTCGTCGTCGTACTTCTGCGCGGCTCGCTGCTAGAGCAGAGTGCAGCGAGGACTGGTGATAGGCGTGTCGGCACACTCGTGCGTCGCGTGGTCGATGGCACACGGCACGACGTCGATCTGCGGGACGCCCCCGCGTTCCGTGTAGGTGACGCGAAAGCCCGAGCGCTGGAACTTGCTTGACACGGATCTCGACTGCGCGCACATAGCATACGAGGAATATGAGTCGAGACACGATTGTGACCATATGTATTATTGATTGGACGCGACTGCGTATGCTACTACTGTATGCCGGGAACTTGCCGACACCATCCAGTATGGCAGGGAGCGATTCCGTCGGAGTGTTTGGCAGAGGAGGAAGAACCTCGGTAGAGCTCCTGCCTGGCTCTCCGCCACGATCTAAATGTCTCGATCAGGTGAAACAGGACGTACCTGATGCCCCCTCCCAGCCTCTTCTCTCGCGCTCGGGTGTCAGCTTCTATCTTGCGCCTTTGCATTCATTCAGCCTGGAATCCTGGCTAAATAAGCGATCTCCTATGACAAGGGGGAGGGTGGGGATAGTGACTCTGAGCCGGGACACTATAACTTCACATCAGCTCACAGTCCCCAGAAACAAGGGAGTAGAGAGAGAGCGCCACATCCCCGTCTGCACGCCCAGACGCCATCCGCTGTCCTACTGCATGCGCCCTCCCCTCGCCGACATCCGCGGAAAGCCAGCACTTGAACCGTTCGAATTCGGCCCGGGCCGTGCCATCGTTGTCGCGCGCTACGGGAGCCAAGGTGATGAGGAATCGCGGTTGGAGGAGCAGGGACCGCAATAGGATGAGTAGATACCGTAGAAACGGGCGTTAGTCACAGTGTCGCGAATCATGGTGGGTGGGGATGCGACGGCACGAATGAGCCGTGTGCGCTCGAGACGCGAGAGGTCACGATAAACGGCGCGTGACGTAACGGACCCCGCGGTAAGTAGTCCAAACGCAGACCTTGCACGGAAGACGTTTCTGCGGGCGCGCTCGGCGCTCATTGACATATGCGTCATCCATCGGCATATGCGAGCGGGACGTCTTGCTCAGTCTGAATGGGCACTCTCTGCTCACCATGCCCCATGCTTACTCGACTCACGGCCGCTACGTCCCGACGCGGGGCTGGCGGGCGAGGAAGGCCGAGTCGACCCCGGACGTGTGCGGCAGCTACGCTACAATTTGTGCCCGGACGGTTCACGCTATAGCACGCGTCGGCTCGTATATGGGCGCCGGGCAGGTCAGAACGCGCAGGAGCGGACACATGCTGCAGGTGCGCGCTTTCGCTCTTTCTTTGCACTATCTCGCGTAGACTGACGATCCCTGCGAGTAGCCCCCTCTTCCTGTGCGCCGACGACGGTAGCGAAGCCCGCACACCACCGCGGATCTCCCACACGGACAACACCCTCAATGGCGGAAAAAGGCACAGGCAAACCGGTCTCGTTACTCCGCGCGCACACAAAGCCTCATACCGCATACTCCAACTCGACGACGTTGAGAGCAAACACCCCTCCGCCCTCTCCAATATGCCGTTCTATTTCGCGCCCATGACCCTACACCTATACCTGGCTGCTAGAGAGGGAGCAGCTGAGGATGGCAGGCGGTGCACGGTATCGCGCTCAGGGATACACCATCAAAAAATGCACGGATACGCCATCGTGCTCTCCTCTCCTCTGCAAGCGAGCAGAACTTCTCACGCGAGTCGTCTCTCCCGCGCGCACAAACCGGTCGACCCCCTCCCCGCGCGCTCACCCCCCTCCTGCAGGAGACATACAAGTCAGTCGCACGGTGCTGTAGCGCGACGTGCTCGAGCGCGATGTGTTGCCATCCGCGGACTCCTAGATGCCGCAGGTCCGAGGTTCGCCTTGCATTCTTTCTTTGCAGCTCCATCATAGACTAACGGACACTACGACCAGAGCCCTCTTGCGTTTCGACACTACCTACTCCCCGGCGCGCGTGTTGGGCGCAGCGACCTCTGCGGCGCATGCGCCGTATTCTCGTCCGAATCGACTTGGCGCGAGTTATTGGCGATGAACAGGAGCCGATGGCCTTGCTCGTTCTCGCATCAGGACTCAGGATGTAGCGGCCGTGGTGAGGTCGCCCATGCAAAAGCCGTGAGGAAGTGCACGCTATCACTTGCGCCTTGACGCGGATGGAGACGTCGGGCCGAAGAGGTTATGGAAAAGAAGGGAGCAGAGCGGTTCTGTGGTTCCTGCAGGTGCGCTTTCATGCCCTATGCAACTTCTACTCCTATTGACTCCCGGCTTATAGCGCCCTTCTGTCAACAAAATGCGACAAAGGCAGCTGGACCGTCGCGGGGTCTCCACACACGCAGGCACAGGCGGACGGTCTCGCCATTCCGCGCGTGTACGCATTGTCTGACCCTGGGCCTATTCTTCAATTGCAGGAGACGCACGCTGAGATGCTGGAGCGGGAGTAGCCGAGAAAAGCGGAAGACGGAAGACGGACGGTGTCGTATCGGGACGAGCTGGAGGACGCGCGTGTCGTTCGTTATGTGCGGCTTGGGCTGCTGGAATGTCAGGGATACGCGATCCCCCATCGCCATCGTCCTCTTCTCCTCTCCTACCCTTCTCAGCCACAGAACGCCCATCGAACTTCGACCGCCGAGTCGTCCCTCAAACTCGCGCGGTGCCCGATCTCGATCAAGTATGCCAGTTCTGGAATGAAGTGGCAGTAGCAGACGGCCACGACGAAGTCTGAACTTGGCTGCTGCGGCTGCCCAGCCTACTTCCCGCTCAGTCTTGCTAGTCTTAAACGCGAGCGGATGTGCTACGATCGCCACGGCGCCACGGCGAACCTCGACCGGCGATCGAGCTCCAGGGTTGCGGGCGCGCGCTTCCCCGGACGCTGACCATCCACTGCATATGCATATGGGACGTGCAGCCTTGTCACACCCCATGCCCAGACGACGTACATTGCCACAGACGCCGAAGAGAAGAAGAAGTGCGGGAGCTTCGAGGACGAGGAAGAAGGCCCAATGTTCGCGGAATGCGACCCACGCCACCCATCGTCCGGTGTACCTTTACGCTATCCGCCACCGCCAGCTCGCACAATGTCGAGTAGGACGAGGATACAGCGCATATTTGGTAGCTACGTCCAAGGCACGCGCCGGGGGAGCTCGCGCTACGGCTATGCGTCCCGCCACTCGAAGATGTCCACCTCGACCGCGGGCCCATTCCGTGCTTTCCGCCTGTTGCTTTCTTGCTATCGCATCTCGTTGTAATAGCGGCCCATAATATTCACGCGCGCTACATCAATATCACTCATATGCGCCTTCGATCTATGAACATTCGAAGAAAACCCCGCGATCTCGGAACGGGATCCACAGCTTGCACTTCTACCACGCAGTGACGTCAGAGTATGTGAGCGGTACTGATGCATACGTTTCTCGCCTGTGCGGCCACTTGACGTACGCCGCACATACCTCCAGCGACGGTCAGCAACGGGACGTCTACGTTGATGTCATTCTGACCGGATATTTCACACTTCCTCGTAGGTGGGTGTTCGGGTGTCGGGTGGCAGGGATGCAGAAGACAATATTGGTGAAGGCTGAAGCTTGAAGCACCGCTTGGCGCATTTGCAAGTGGCAGATGGCATACGGTGTATGTTCATGGGCGTAAGTTACGCCCTTGCCTCACATCACTCTGGTAACTGATACTACCCCACATAGCTCTTTGATCGTCAGCGCTTCGGCGGGCTCACTGTAAGAAACCGGCCTCTCCTTCGAACTGGCGGCGTCGCGTACGCTCATACAAGGTAATTCTGCAGCGTCCCCATAGCACAAAGTGTTCCCAACAAAGCGCCGCCGCGGTATCACTCCCAGCCCTCGCCTTCGAAGTACAGCCCGCTGCATTCACTCCGGCTTGCTCAACCGCAGCATCACAAAGCACAGCAAGGATTGAGCCTTCGACGCGTAAACGCGAATGCACGTAGTAAGGGCGTGAGACGACGCCGGGAGGAGGAAGCTCCGCGTCTTCCGGAAGGCGTGCGGTAGCCTCAGGGCGCACGCGTACTCATGCGAACCATCGTTGTTTACTGTATCTGTGTCTTATCTACATACACATCGGGCATGGCTTGCTGCTCCTTGTCGAGAATCATAGTTCATGTTCAAGTGCCCAGCTGGCTGCTGCTCGAGGATTCGGTTCCGGCTGGCGTTGCGCCCCGTGCTGGCGCTGCAGCAGGCTGCAGCGGGCTGCAGCCGATGCCGCGGATTAACGGGCTCAGGTCATCTGACCGCGTTTGGGCCGTCGGCCGACAAAGCCCGCGCCCTGCCCACGGACCTGTACGGCACATTCAGTCCGACTCCAGACCACCACTACATCTCTACTACACGAGATCACCAGAGGTCGAAATAGCTAGCTTGGCAGAAATGTAGAACCACGGTCTTCTATGTAACAGAGCCCATCTCAAGAGATTCTTCTTGCCGCCGCGATGATCTCTCAGAACCTTCACTGCCTCGTGCGGTGCATAGAGCACGATCGTTCCCCCTTGCCCACCCGCACCGGTACCTCCGCACCTGTAGCAGCTTCCTGTGGTACGCCACAGTGACTATCGGAGCATCTGCGTCTCCGATCGGCCAGTAATGTTGCGACCGCGACGCCTTTGCAGCCGACGGCAAGCATGCCCGCTGCAAGGTGCACAATTTCCTCCGAACTGTTCTCGTCCCCCGTCGCCATCCGGCAGACTGACAGACACGCGGGCTCGGCGTCATCTACTACTGTCGATAAGATATCTGCTAGTGAGAGTGACGTAGCAGAGTTGGAATGCGTTCACAGTTGCGTCGCCGGCAATTTGAGATTCGCCGCAGGCGAGATGGACCTAACAATGTTGATCCATGACAGTACGTATTATTGAACTAGCTCGCGCGAGGCCCTCGATCGACGTTAGAGAGGAGCTGTCGAGATCATCGATGTATTGGGATGTAATGCCGAGTCGCCTACCGAGCATTCGCTGGAGAATGCCATGCACGAATCTCACAGACGACCGTGCTATGTACACCCTCACGGTTCGGGCTCAGATGGATTACAGAAATGCGATTGGAAGCAGTTGATCGACTACATATCTGGTATCCTCAGCACTACAGAGAAATGCCTTTAGGCGTCAGATTAGACAGCATAGACAGTCCTACACAAACGATGGTTGACCGTACGATATCCTCATTGCCGGCCAGTGCACGAATGCTGACTGAGGGCACATGCAAGAGCCAGCAACGTTGGCTAAGCGACGGATGCGATCATAGTGGGTACAAGGTGAAGCAGTGGAGGTGGTCCTGGATACGCATGAGTCAGTAATACATTCTCTTCTCATGCCCTTGAAGACTACAAGATAAAGAGTGGGCAAGGAACTCGCCGCAGACAAGAAACTCTTCGTCAACCTCGAGAACCTGTTCACATTCTCCCTTCCGTCGAATATCATCGATCCTCTTCGACGACGTATGTGCATTCCAGGCACCCCCGTATGCGCACCCAGTCGTTCCGCGTTGATCGTATTATCGCAACTCGGCGTATGGTTGAACTGCCATTTACTTCGCAGCCCTCATGGCGCAAAACGGTGAAGGGAGACTAGCGAATCAGATAGGCGGACTGGAGACGGCGACTCAAGTGCTGCCGACTTGGTTTCCGCATACAGAGCGAGAGTAATGGCGCGATAGAAGCGGTTGGCGTGGCTGAAAGCGGTGAGGGGAGCGTTTGATGATGGTCGCGGTCAAGAAGCACGACTCGCGCGCTTATCTTGTCTTGAACTCCCATGTCGCAACCCACGATGGGCTTCCCCCCATCGTCTAATCCCTCAGCATATGTTTTTCTTGGCTTGTATGAGATACTCTGATTGACTCTACACCAGTTTTACGGCGTTGACTGACCGACACTCGAACTTTCGAGAGTGAAACGAGCTGCGCCGAAGTTGCCAGCGTCCACTCCCTTGGGCTCGTTTCGCGTGCGCATGCATATGGAACTCGCCGTTATTGTGAAAAATATAGGAGCGGATGATTGCAGCCATGCATAGGCTTTTCTCCTCGTTCGGTGTCCTATCGTATCGCCCCCCGGCATTCGCCGCGCAAACGTGGGCTCGGAGAGGGGTCCGAGACGACGCAGGGAGCGCCACGTCGGCAGACTCATGTGCTTGTCAAAAGCGTACTCCCAGTGTACTGGATCTGCGGCAAGCACGGCCGATGTGAGATGCACGGCTGCCACATCTTACATATCTACTCACCCCTGGCATTGTGTGAGCGCAAGCGCACCGTGTGTCCCATCATCTCTACTCGGACCTGCCCAACAGAACGCATGACTCGAGCTATCACTGACGTGCGCACGCGTACGACAACAGTCAGGCCACTTGGAGAGGAACTCTGAGATCTGATGTGTTTACATGTTCTGCGCTCGTCTCTGTGCACAGATGTGACGGTTGCAATGGCGCAGCCCTTCGACGTCACCGCAGTCGCATGGGGCAAGTCCTCGCGCATAGTTCTGGATTAACTTCCATATTGAACTGTTTCTTTGCACCCTGTCCGCTACAAGAACTCAACTGGAGAGGCGAGGTCTCTCTCAAACATTACCTTTCCTTCATCCTTACCAAAACACTTTATCTGTGACTCACGGGTGCATCGGCGGGCCGATGCCTACTCCTGGCACTACGATGTCTGACACTACGATGCTTGATGCTATCATCCCACAATTGGTTACGGTCGAGCAGGGCATCGAAGAGATCGCTGGCGAACGCATCTTACCTTTCATCGTCGAGACTATCTTGTACAGTACGTCTCTAGCACGATTAGCCTAGAGATCGGGGCGACCCAGAGCTTACTTCCTCGTTCTTCAAGCATTGTACTCTGTGCTCGTAGTCATACATTGCCTTAGACACTGGTGCATTCTCCTGTAGATTTGTTGTTCATTCATGATCATATACTGAAAGGGCTCTCCAGGAAGGATCCTCAGCGCGCACCCAGTGGATATGCCATCTCCATTGGGTTGTACGTCTTGTGTACAGTATGTTGGGCCCTGAACCTGTCCATCATATTATCCGATCTCTCTCGGTTCTATCCCAGCCACGTACTTCCGGCTACTAAAACGACACCACCTGCCTATGAGAAGGGTGCGACCTTATTTGCGCGCGAGGTTTGTGTCGGAGTTGTGGTCAGTCACATCCCTTATGGCGACGGCTGGGTATTCAGACGCACGCAGTTTGTACACTCCGATGTAGTCGCGCTTTGGAGAGCATATGTCATCACTGGCAGCCGTCGATGGGTGGGAGTTGTTTTCGCAGGCTTCTACATTCTATCGGCAGGTACGTCATGCGCCCACTTATTCCCAAGGTTTGAAACGGGTTGAACGTTGAACATCGGCAGCTCTTTACGTCTTTGTTGGTGTATTGCATTCCGCTACACTTCTTAGCCACCCGCCTGCGTCGGTGGTTAGCTTTTACTCAAAACATATGATGGCGTACGTGGCTCTGGAAGCCTTGGCGTACTCAGCAACCGCCGGCGCTCATGTCACGAGTACTGTATTAATAGCCCGGAAAGCATGGTATGTTTTGCAATCCGTGACCAATCCAGTTAGAAGACTGATAAGGGCATTTGTCCGGCTAGGATACATAGGAAAAGATTGCATATCCTGCTTACACGGGCATCTAATAACCGCGCCAGCAACGCCAGCTATTCTAGGTCTATAGAAATACTCTACATCGTGATAGAATCGGGCGTCTTGTACACCTTGCTTTGGATCATATATGTGTTCTCCGGTTCGTTCAGTGAAGACGGGAAGAGTTGGAGAAGCTCCTGGATGTACCAGATCTCGGTGAGAAGTGATTCGAGTGGTATCTAGTATATCGAATGCTTACTGGTTACAGGGAATGTATCCGACGCTCGTGGTCGTCGTCGTGCTTTTGCGCGACTCATTCCTCGAGCAGAGTTCTATCGAGATGGAGCGGTCTACGCGCGTCTCCATCCTCCCCGCTGTCGAGGACATGGCTCGCATTGATCTGCGAACTGAATCGGACTCTCATCTTGGCATGGTGCAACCGCCCCAACTCGCACATTACTGAAGTTTTGTACGCGAGATGCATAGTTAGTCAGTATGGACACCAGAACCATAGTATCGCACCGAACAGAGACAATTATACAATCGCTTATCTGGACATACCAAATCGAACTTGACACTGTACACTGCCATGATGAGCTCTACTTCGTAGATAACGCGCTGCCGGTAATCTTGACGCAGGAAGTGACATAGCTTGCGTGTTAGCTGGAGATATAGATTAGCTGACTGATGAACACCAAGCGCGAGGGGGTGGATGTATGCTATGTCAGGGTACAATCTTGTCATCCCTCCGCATGGGTACTGACGGGAACACCGTTCACTGGTGCCGCTACAGCACGCAACTCAGTCCGGCGCGCCGCACAATCTCGCATTGCATTCAAGTGAAGTCAACCGGCTTGCTGCGCAACCAAAGCCGCTGGTGCATGCAAATAGTCTAGCAAGATGCGCGGAACAGGGATATCGTGGGCGAAGGCAACCCGGGCTGCAGAAGCGCGATGATGAGTTTCAGCGCGCCGAATGCCGACCGACGCCGACGTGGGCGCTTCAAGTTGATGAACGCGAGGTGGGCGGTAGCAGTAGCACAGCTGCGCCACGCTTCGTCCTGGCTTTCATCCGCTCACAACGACCTCGAATGAACCTTCTCGAAGAGCACCATATAGTGTGAAAGGAAAAGAGTTTGAAGTGACAAGAAGTCGCGCGATGATGGCTGCCGTGCGATGACAAGGCTCACTAACGAGTTAGCACGTACGGGTGAGCACCATCCGCATTCTCGACATGAGCTCATCGCTTATTGCTATAGTTGGGCTACATGAGCTACACACCAACGGCGACACCGATGAAAGGCGTGTGTGGAGCAAAGACGCCGGACATGGTCGTTGAGCTCGAGAGGCGCGTCGGCAGCTGTCGGCAGTGCCACTGCTGATCGATTGATCCGCTTTGCGCGCTCGACCTACATCATAAGGCTAAGCACAGATACTTCAAGTTGCCTTGCTTTCGGCCTCCATCTGCCACGGAGGCCTTGGTCTTTAATGATGCCAGATTCACGTCTGTCCCTGGCACGATACTTTCCGACACTGACGACCTGATCATCGAAACCGTCCATAACGCTTTACCTCGAGTCCTCGCACTCCTTGGCCTTTTCCCTCGGCGGCCATGCATCTGACTTCACGGGTCGCATCGCCAAGTCGGTAACGCGCTGGAGCTCGCTTAGGACAGAGCGCGGTCAGGTGCGCGGGCGTCGTTACATAGACGTCTAGTCGTTCTTCGATCCGCTCGTCGCGTGGACGACGCGTTCGACGTCAGTCACTCCGACTCCGAGCTCAGAGGACCGGCTCGCGCGTTTGCTGCCATTCTGGTGCGGCGTGCCCCACGCGTAGGAGTAGGAGTAGGAAATCACATAAGAGTGCGGCGTGGATCGCGGAGTGCGATGGCGAGGGGCAGCATTCAGGATTTCATCGCTATGTATCTCTTGTGGTGTGAGGTGCGGGTGTTGCTCTTTGACGCCTCGATCCTTATTCACGGTCATGCGCAGGTTCATGCGCTGTTCATTGGAGTCGTCGAGGCAGCGTTTGTGAGCGGGAAGCGGCGTTCAAGTGTACCAGGCTCCGAGTTGAAATCCCGTGCTGCATATCCAGCGGCTATATGGCGTGAAGCGCGCGCGATGGGATATACTCTCTACGCGCTTGTGACTCTGACTGTGTCCGTCGCATTCCTAGTTCTTTGTTCAGCTTCCACCGTAACCTCTCGATATCTGTGGCTGGCCACTCCGCTACGCTACAACAGGGGCCCACGATCCCGCCGTAGGCCGTGAGAAAACCGACCGACCCGACGTCAATTCCAACGGACGAATGCAAGGGGTCTGTCTCAGCTCATCGTCAACTCTACTCCCGACCGTCAACTCTACTCCCGACCGTCAACTCTAGTCCGAACCGTCAACTCGATGTCCTCGCCTCACAAGCCGGGATACACCATCCTGCCCATCCACTCTCCACCACCGCCATCCCCACCGGCCTATCGCGCCACCATCCCCGACGCGAACGAGTCCGAGTCAGAGGGATCCAGAACTGGTGCGTGACCCTTAACTATTGACCTACCCCTCCGCATTGTCATGGCAGAGACTCGCTAATCCTATCCGTAGGCGCCAGTCCGACGCCCCGCGCGACCCCGGGAGAGCGCCCATCCTGCTTCCTCAACTTCGAAGCACCTGTGCGTCTCGAATTGTCTCCCACAGCCGTCCTCGTCGTTATCGTGCTCGCAATGACCGTCCTCGGCGTCGTGTACATGTACACGTACGGTCCCAATGCCTAGGTACGCCGACCAGCTCAACGTCACTGCATCGTGACTCATGAACTCTGCCACTTGACGCCGATAATCGACGTACAGATCCTGCACGAGATGAAGCTGCAGAGCCGAATGGTTGCCCCTAACCCGGGCTCGACTACCCCTAGATAGTCCGAGGAGCCTGACCGTGGCCCACCGCTCGTGTGCGTTAGGTGTAGAGCTCGCCCCTTGAGATCCTTATTGTATCATCTATGCCTTGCTCTCATGATGTAGCTACTAGATTATCCTTCAATTGAATGTATCATGCTCGATCCTTGCATTGTCCAACTGTCCTCTAGTCATTGAGAACTTTATATCGCGACACGCACAGACTTGATACGATACCCAAAGCAACCGAAAACATCATGTACCACACACGCAGCGGCAGGCCGGGCCGTTGAGCTTGCGTCGCCACTACTGATCCGCTTCGCGCGCTGGACGTATATGCATCAGTACATGTATCTGCGATTGTACTGAGCGAGGCCATACCTCCGCGACCCGACTCCCCTCTGCGCTCGATATCCAAGCGCTCCATACGTTGAACGAAGGATTCGATACATACCTTGCCAGCGGGGATATGTTCGTGCGACGGAAATGAGGTAAGAACAATACTTCTGGCAAGCAAGGCGTATCATGCTATAAGGGACAGGAGAGCTCGAAAATAGAGTATCACATAGCAAAATGGTACTCCTCAGATACAAAGTCAATGTACAAAGACTCAATAGCGTAACTACATCATATTCTGGCGCTTGGGGCGCTCCAGGCCTCACGAACCACCAACCGCCCCTCCTCGTCCTTAACAAGCTTATCCTCCTCATCCCTCAGCAGAACCTCGGTCGGCGGCCCAGCGTCCTGACGCCTCATCATGACAGTCCGCGCCTCGAACCTAGCCATCTTCGGCTCCCTCTCCTCAGGAATAGACTCCAGCGCGCTCTCCTCCGACGCCCGCGTGCGTTTCTTCCCACGAGACGGCGGCTGCTCGATAGTATAGAACTGGCCGCCCACGCGCGCCCGAGCGTCATCGGCAGCCTCCCGCCGCGTCGGCTCGATGTGCAGGTTGTTCGCCGGGTCCCTCGCGCGCCTGATCTGCGGGACATCGCTGCGCGTGTGTCGGATGGGCGCTGGCGCGCCCTCCTGGAGGCTCTGCCGGGTCCGGGCGGGGAGGTGGATGTACGGGAAGCGATCGAGGGAGGGGTCCGCGTGCTTCGGCCATCCCGACGCTGCGAGTGCATCGCGGAAGCGTGTCTCGAGATGAGCTGAGTCATCAAAGAGCGTGGAGAACGAGCGCTTCTGCGGATGCGGGGGCGAAGGCGAGCGCGGGGCTTCCGGCGGCAGAGGAGGAGGCGGAAGCGCGTCGTCCTCGGGAGCGTTGTCCTCGGCACCAGACTCAGCATCATCCGAGTCCGAGTCAGCGTCCTCGTGGGCGCGCATGAGCTTATAGAAGCCGTCCCAGTCCGTGCGTAGCTGCAGGATGAGATCGCGGAGAGGCCGGGGAATCTTGTGGTTGAGCGCGTCCCGCAGGTGGCGAATGTCCGAGCGCTTGAGGTGGCCCATCTGCTCCGCCAAGAAGTGCGATTTCGGCTCGCCGCCGTAGCAGGTACCGTCGGATTCCCAATTGCGCCATTCGAAGAGCTTGAGCATATACGACTGGAAGTCCTTGTCGTGCGACGGATCCGCCCACGCAGCGGGTCCATAACGGTAGCGCAGTACGACGTAGAGAAGAACCCAGAAGAAGGACTCAAGGTCGTCGCTCAACTCGTGCGCCTTGGTGTTCGGCTGCGAAAGGAGAGCGACGGAGAGGAACGCCCACGTCCCCTACGAAGATCATCAGAATGACGAAGACGCAAAGAAAAGAAAGCAAACGCACTGTTCTCCACAGCGTACGGGGCTTGCGGCCGGTCAAGTCCTTCTCCAGATTGCTATACAGAAGTGCCAGATCCCAGTCGATGAGCATCCCATCTCCCTTACGGTTGATGAGGATGTTGCCCGGTGAGATATCACGATGCAAGACGTTAGCCTTATGATAGGCGGCGGAGTGTGCTGGATGAAGGCGAAGTTAGATTGGGGAGATGAAGGCAGGGTGAGGTGCGCACCTTCGATAGCGTGGGAGAGAGCAGTAACAAGCTGCCGTGTCGACTCGAACTTGCTGACCGGGCCCCCGATGTCCCTGAACAGAATGCGGTAGTGGGAGAGCGGGTGGATGTTCGCGGTCAGGCCCAACCACTTTGCGCCGATGAACTCATGCGTGCGCGTCCTTCGCACGGAGTTGTCCGACTTCCAGCGCACCTCACCAGCGCACTCAACGGCAGCAAGATGAGGCACGCCAGCGGCGTTCAGGTGTTCGTATATGCGACCCTCCTTCGTGAACTGCGGGTCGTTGATGGGCCAGGAGTCCTTGACCCAGTAAGCGCACTGTTGCTGGACGTCGTACCCCACGAAGCTGACGGTGTAGCGACCGACTATCGAGTAGTTCAAGCCCAGAGGGTATGTGGCGATGAGCGTGCGAGACGTTGGCACGCCGGCGCCGTCCAACTGGCTGTCGTCCCAACATGTAACTGTGCGCAGCGGGGCGTCGTCCTGGATTGGTACGTCGAGCATCCCATCCGAGAACTCCTGCATGGCCTTGCGCGCCTCCTCAACCACCTCCGGCTTATCGTCGAAGTCAGACAGATCCCCGACAGAATCATCGAAGCCCTCTTCTTGGGGTGTGGCGTGCTCCAAGCGCGACAGAAACTCAGCCAATAGCGCGCCGTCGTTCGCGCGCCAGTCGAAGCGCTCAGAGGCTACCACGCCCGCGTGGTCGTAACGAAGTAAACGCGCCCATTTTCCGAGGATCATGAGGGACGTGACATTCGTACGCGGTTGGTAGGTGAACTGATGAAGAACATAGGTCGACGCTTGACCGCGAGCGTGGATAGCCCTGGGGGTCTGATGCACGACCGACTGAGAACAAGTTAGAAGGAGAACATCAAACAGCTTCGAATTAGCGTACCTTCTGCTTTCGTTCAGCAGTCGTCCACTTCGCGTCAGGATCTACCACTGCATCCTCTGACTCGGGCTTGAACTCGACGGTCACCCGCATACGCTCCCACATTGGGCGGACCGGCAAAGAAGACCCATCCGCGGGCTTGTCCATGCCACTGGCGTCTACTTTGAGCTTATACTGAGGGTCGTTACTGGCAAGAGGAGTTCCGTCGATGTCGATATAGACGTCCTCGGTATTGACGAACTCGATCGAAGGGCATACACCACTTGCATTGATAGCGCGACACTAGGAACACAATCAGTAACTCGCCCAGGAACTAAATTGTGCGGTACGTACGACATCCGTGACAGTGTACTTCTCTTGGTAATATGAATTACTGCGGGAGGGCTGGTCTTCGCGGGGTAACGTTACGTTGAAGATGATCCGTGGAAGTGGAGGTCTGTCGGATTTTGCAGGATGAAAGGTGTCCAAGAACGGAAAGAATGGCATCGAAGCGACGACGGCGTCCGTCATATCTTGAGAGAGGTACTCGTAGGCCTCGCTGGCGGTAAGGCGGTTACAGAGGCTGAAGGGCAACGCCCGCTCGCGTGTAGTGCTTGGGAGTCGTCACGGCGTTTCTCTTGATGTTTGCCTTGGTTTGGTGTTACGGAGACACGCTCAGATGCGCCGAGGTCAATTTCTGAGCAGCAGTCATGGAGAGGAAGCGGAAGGGTTCGTGGTGGATGAGGTTGAGAAGAAGACGCGAGCTGAGGAGGCCGCGATCAACCACACGTTCCCTGCCCCCGCGCGTAGCCGCGTACACAGGCGCCAAACTTGCCGAGACGTCGCCGAACTGCTCTGGCACAAGTATGAAAACCCTCGCTCTCTGCTTCAACACTATTCTAACTGCGCTGAAGTTGTAGAAGAGGGGGCACTTGAATAGTCAGAGATATTGCTAGAGGTACTACTACAGTACATGTCAACCTTATGCAAAAGAGCCTGCCAGGTTCTCACTGCATGATGCACGCTACTGTACCGGACGCCACGAGTACGGAATTGCCCTCTCAGGCGCCTTATACCCCGTTTGCAGCCACACAAAGCTCCCATCTGGCGATACGCGAAGCCAATCCTGCTTCGGCACTTGTACTTGGAACCTCGCGATCTTGTCATCCCGTTGAAGCGCAACCTTTTTCTGCACTTCGTACTCTATCACATCGCGTCCACCGTATTCTCGCTGGTGCCAGCAAATAGTACAGCATGCACCCGGCATGCTCATCTCTGGATCTTTGAGGCTAAATGTACCATCCGTGTAGAGCGTGAGCGTGGCGCCTTGGCTGAACACCATCGTTATAGGCCCGGGTACACCGCTGGGCCTGTGAAGAGCCTGAATGACAAGCCGTTCAACGTCATCTTTGTTAGTATATATGTTGATAGGTAGACTGTAGGTAAGATCGGGAGCTGCACTGGAGATTGGGACGTCGTTAGAGCCAACAGGGGTATAGGGAGAGCTCTCACAAGTTGGAGGTCATATTGGTTGGATATCTCGAGTACGCTCAAAGTACGCTGGGTGTCCTTGAGACGGCGGTATCGCGCTCGTATATATACCCGCCACCCTCCTCCTTGTCCTATGAAACAAGAGCATACAGACGTCTGCACAGCAATAGAAACAGAAGGACAACAATTCGTCCTCAAGACAACGCACGAGTCTTGTTCGCTGAAGCCTGAGCCTGAGAAGGACTCTGAACAATGTGCGACGAACAAAACGATCCAGTCCGGGCCTGATTCTAGCGTGGTGCATCATCACAGAGGTGAAAACCAGCACAATGTGATACTATTCTGCGCAGGTACACAATTCATATAAGCAAAAGCGAGATGCGTTGTGCAAGAGTGTATGAGGTTATATCGATTCAATACCATAACACCGTGACTCTCAAGCCTCCGGTAATCATTCCCTTCCGTCATAGCCTCCACTATCCCAACCGACGCTGATCCATCCAGCTCCATCCCATGCGACAGCTTCTCTCAAAGAGTCAACTCCATCGAGATGCGTCCCGAGCATCCCCACGGCGCAGAAGAAGCGAGACAACGCGTGGGCATAGTGCCATAGTACGGTTCTCGAAAACATGGGTTCGTCGTGTAGATTTCCGAGCGAGTCTGAATCTTTCGCAATTTCAAGCCGTTGGCGTAGTGCGTAGGGGGGCAGAACTGGTGTTGAGCTCACGACGGGAAGAGGTAATCATCATGACGGGCGGAGGCAAGCAGCGCTCATACCGGCTGATCGCGCGGACCTGGGCGCTTAGCTTGACTCGATTGCGCGCCTCGGTCGCGAGTGCCTACTATTGGGACTCAGGATCTCACGGTCACTTGAATAGTCCGCGCACGATGTATACGGTGGACCATCGCTGTGTTGTATATGACCAATGAAAGCACCCAGGTACATCAGGCACAAGCGATAGTGATAGCTAGATAACGCGTATTACAGTACAGCGAAAGCAATTGACAAGCAAGATACGAGTACAAAGCAGCCAACGGCTCAGCAATATCAGAATTGGGCACTCCAGGCCTCGGTAACCTTCAGCTGCCCTTCTTCATCCTTAACGAAGTTATCCTCCGCGTCGCGGACAAAGACCTCATTAGGCGGGCCGGCGTCTTGACGCTTCAGAGTGATCGTCTGCGCCTCGTACCTGGCCACCTTGGGCTCCCTCTCCTCAGGAATGGACTCCAGCGCGCTCTCCCGCGCCCGCTTCTGCCCGCGCGGAGACTCCGAGCGCGCGGGTAAAGGGAGCGTGTAGAAGTCGCCGCCCGCCCGTGCCCGCGCGGACTCCGCCAACTCTTCGCGAGTCGGCCGGTCGTGCAGGCTGTTGGACGGATCGCCCGCGCGCCTGTGCTGGGGGTTGTCACTGCGCGTCGCGGGAATCGGCGGGGCCTTCTCTTGCAAGCTCTGGCGCGTCGTTGCGGGAAGGTGGATATAGGGAAAGCGATCAATAGACGAATCCGGCACAGGGCGGCGGTGCCACTTGGCTGCGACAGCGCGTTCGAAGCGCTCAAGAAGGTACGTGGATGTGTCGAAAAGGGTAGGCGCCATGCGAGTCGTCAGATGTGATGAAGATGATTGTGTGACTTGAGGGGGCCGCGGTGGCTCGGGGAGTGCGTCGGCATCTTCGTCGTCGTCGTCTTCGTCCTCCTCAGCCGCCTCGGCATCGTATGCAGCATTCTCAGCGTCCGCGGCCGCATCACGCTCAGCAATCTCATGCGCACGCATAGCTTTGTAGAAGTTGTCCCACTCATCGCGAAGGGTGAGGAGCAACTCTCGGAGAGGAGTAGGCATGGGTTTCCCGGAGACGTCCTTCATCGTCTTGAGGTCTGTCCGCTCAAGATGACCATCCGCCTCCTGCAGGAACTGCCGCTTCTGAGACCCCCCGACCGTGATCCCACCATCTTCGATCGACTTTGACTCAAAGAGTTCGAGCATATACTTCTGGAATGCTCCGTCGCTCGTAGGTTCGAGCCACTTGACAGGTCCGTATCGGTAGCGAAGCACGACGTAGAGCAGGACCCAGAAGAAGGATTCGAGGTCGTCGCAAAGCTCGTGCGTCTTGCTAAACGGAAGAAGAGAGATGGAAAGGAATGCCCACGTTCCCTGCATAATCAGTCAGGACAGGAGTACGTTGCTGAGAAACTAGTAGTCGCTCACAGTTCTCCATAGCATGCGAGGCCTGCGATTGGCCATGTCCTTCTGGAGGTTGCCGTACAAGAGGGCGAGATCCCAGTCAATGAGCATCCCGTCGCCGTTCCTCTTGATGAGGATGTTGTTGGGCGAGATGTCCCTATGTAGAACGTGGGCCTTCTCGTATGCGACGGAGTGAGCTGATCAATCATGTGTCAGTCAACAACAACGACATAAACAATGACGAGAACATTGGACATACCCTTGACCGCGTGAGAGAGAGCGGTGACCAGCTGTTGCGTAGACTGGAACTTGCTGACGGGGCGTCCGATATCCTTGAACAGGATACGATAGTGGGAAAGCGGGTGGATGTTCGCGGTAAGTCCCGACCATCCTTCCTTTGCGAACTCGTCCGTCCGGGTCCTCTGCACCGTCTTGTCCGCCTTCCAGCGAACTTCGCCGGCACACTCGATCTCGGCGAGATGAGGAACGTCCGCGTCCTTCAACCGCTTGTATATCTCGCCCTCCTTCGTGAACTCCGGGTCGTTGATCGGCCACGAGTCCTTGACCCAGTACGCGCAACGCTCCTCAACGTCGTAGCCGATGAAGCTGACGGTGTAACGACCGACGATAGAGAAGTTGAGCCCTAATGGCTGGGTGGCGATGAGCGTCCGAGACTTGGGCAGACCATCGTCGCCGAGCTGACTGTCGTCCCAGCACTCGACCGAGCGGAGCGGAGCGTCGTCGGTGATGGGCACAGCGATCATGCCATCCGAGAACTCCTGCATGGCCTTGCGCGCGTCCTTGACGACCTCCGAGTCTTCACCGCCGAAAGCGGAGAGATCCCCGACAGAGTCGTCGATGCCCTCGTCCTGAGGCGTACCGTGCTCGAGGCGGGAGAGGAAGTCGGCCAGAAGCTCGCCGTCATTGGCGCGCCAGTCGAAGCGCTCGGAAACCACAACTCCGGCATGATCGTAGCGGAGTAAGCGGGCCCAGTTCTCGAGAATGAGGATCGATGTGACGGAAGTGCGGGACTGACGACCGAACTGGTGAAGCACGTAGGTCGACGCCTGACCGCGGGCAAGGTGAGCCTTCTCGGCTTGATGAACGACGCCCTTGTCAAAGCGAGTCAGATGCTAAGTCCCATGTAGATGAATTCAGTCATACCTGCAGCTTCCTCACAGCTTCCTCCACCTCCGTGTCCGGGTCCACTACAACATCCTCCACCAAGAGCTTGAACTCCATCGTGACACGCATACGCTCCCACTTGGGAGTGATGATGACCGAGGGTTGACCGCCTGTCGGGTTTGCAGTTTTGGCCATGCCGCTGGCGTCTACCTTCAACTTATCTTGAGGATCGCCTTCAGCTAGACTCCCGTCCATGTTTATGTACACGTTCTCGGTGCTGATAAACTCGATGGACGGGCAGACCCCGCTGACGTTGATGGCGTGGCACTAGCAAAAGTCTGAGCGAATGCAGGAGGGGGGGCTGTGAAAGAACGTACGACGTCCGAGACGGTATCTTTGCCCGGCCCTTTTTGGTATCCCGGAGTCTTCAGTTTCAGCTCGCTGTTCAGCAGAACCGCAAACTTGAGCTTAGGCAAAGGCGGCCGGTCGGAGCGAGCAGGATGAAACTTGTTTAAGAACAGCGCATATGGCATGGAGCTGCTGAAGACGTCCTTCATGTCTACCGAGAGCTGGTCGTAGGCTTGCTTGGCTGTAAGACGGTTGCAGAGGGTGAACGGCCCAACGCCGGAGCGCGCGTAGCGTTTGGGAGTAGTCTTGGATCCCACTTTGACGTGAGCGGCGGTGCGTCGTTCTGGCGGCACCGCGGGATGCGTGGAGGTGTGTTTCTGGGCACCGGCCATGGTGAGGAAGGGATCGTGGAGGGAGGCAAGACGCAAGAAGCAACTCACGGTGGGACAGATTTAAGAGGACTTGCAAGTGGCCGTGGTTGATTCTGATCGATACACGTGTGAGTTCCCGCACGAGTCAGAGATGAGAGTGGTGGTTGAGGTTGAGAAGTCGCGAGCTGAGGAGGCCGCGATCAACCACACTAACCCACGTTCCCTGCACGTGGTCGCGTTTAGAGTGCGTCGGATACCGGGCCGACCCACAGTCTCCGCAACGGCGACCGCCACCTTGACGACGTCAAGAGCAAATACCCCTCCCAACATGGCTCTCATCCACGTATTCGACCATCTCCTCGCCCGTGCAGCATGGCCTGACCCCGCCCCGCGCACATATCTCTCGAGCGCTGGAGATGCATGCCGGAGAAGAGCTGCGGGCAGTGACGTCGAAGACGCGTACCATCCGTCACGCTGGCTTGAGCTGCTAGAGGTCGTACTATTGTATGCAGTTGCAATGTATCTCACAAACTTGGCTCTGACACCGATGTAGTACTGTATATGATTCAATGGGGGCTCTTCTGCTGGAGAGGGAACAATAGATATCGATTACAAGTCGCGTACTCTAAGGATGGGTATCATAACTGCTGAAGGCTCCATAACGAGCGCAAGCAATAACACGTTCCGCACCGTAATCTCGCCGGGTCCATCACCAAATTGCCATCGCCTGTTATTTTCGCCATCAACCGGTACCATCGCATTATCCTGTGAGATTGTTGAGTTCGCCTGGGGGGACTGATGAGGGAGGTGACATACGAGGATGAACTTGCAAAGCTTGCCCTTAACTTGCTCGACAAGATTGTTGAACGTGTTCGCGCTCTCGGCACTGCTGTCGTCGAGACTGATCGTCTCCTGCCGAGGAACGTAACCGGGCCACTGACCACCAAAGGTTAGACTTATGAACAGAGTTCATACATAGTCCAGCTCACCTGAACCTTGATGCGCACTATCTTCCGCTTTCTCCCATCAGCACGCCATAGCGGCCTATGTCCGTGCTGCAATCTGCCATCGAAGCCCACTTGCGACACAGGTACACCCAGCACGCCCTCTCCGCTGACGGCCCAAAAAGGGACGGGTTCCACATCATGCAACATGGCCGTCGAACGAGTCGGTGACTCCGGCTTTTGCGGCACGTAGAGACCTAGCGGTATGATGCGCGATAAGTCCGAGTCGGTCCCTTTGACGTCGATTATGTACCAATCATGGCCGGACTTTGACCGGTAAGTATGAGCGTTCCTTCCGACGGATGAGCTCGTGCGTGTGCGGAGGGCAAAGGCATTGCTGATGAGCGGTGTGACACGTCCCTCGCGGTAGAGATCTACAGTTGCTGTTGACGAGAGCACAGTATGAGGTTTCGCGGGGTCTGCATAGTTGAAGTAGACGGCAACAGCGAGAACGCGTCTGCACATCTCCTCCGATCCGAAGACGTGGAAGAGAATGCCGCCGCCGTGCACTGCTTGCACGAACTCCGAGAACGAGGTTCCAAGGTGCCCGCTTTGTATTATGCTGCGGGCGTCTCGCAGGCTCAGATGAGAGGGAGATGCAGAGGGAGAACTGAGAGCGGCTGAAGACAAGGGAGTCAGTGCGCTTAACATCGTGTGGAGGACATGTGAACGTACTCGTGGGTATACCCCAGTCTGAATACTTATACTGGCTGAGACGAGGGTGAGACTCCGGATCGGGCTCGTCCATCTCTACTTCTTGTGATCCAAAACTCCTCCTGTCCGACATAAGAGTCGTGCAAGTTAAACCGAGTTATCCAACTGTATGAGCACCAGAGCCAGCGTCGTGCGTCGCGTCCCTGCCTGAGGTAATGACAACAGTGAATCCCAAGTTTCAACGTCTTCGGGGCAAGTCAGTGTGCGCGCTATGCGGTCGACGGGGAGTTGATATGTAGTGTCTGATTTTCGATCTCTATACTCACCGCTTCATTCGTCTGCGTCCAAAGAGCACTGTCACGTCATGAACTAGGGTAGGAATGCCCAGAGTGAATAGCCGTGCGGGGAGATATGTCCTGAGCGCCAACCACCTTCGGCATCCGCGTCCGAGGGTTGATCATAGGCAGAAGAAAGAAGCGCTCGTGCGGGTAGCATGGAAGTTGACACATCTGGGCGCTTGAACGGTCTACTAGGCCATCAACAAACCAGCAATCCCATACAGGTTCTTGCAATCGGAGCCTCAAGAGCCCCAAGAAGTCTAAGAAACCTAAAAGCGACGGAAAGAACTTCCAGGGTCCGGCCTGGGCGGGTCCGGCGACCGCCGAGGTAATTATCGCACCGCCGCCCTGCCGCCGCCCATGATTTTGTCGTAGATAACTTAGCAATAATAGTGTTCCTTTTCGACAAGCACTTGGAGGATTATAAAATCATTCAATTACGCGGCTGGGTCCAGCGCCCAGTCCGAAAAAAGCAACAGATCATCTATGTCGAGAATCGTAACTATTGTACGTGGAGTAACCGTACGACCCATAGTATCTACTCCCGTCACCGTCATTGCCGCCCTCGTAGAAACCCTATAAGTCCTGGCTTTAAGCGCGTGGGGCATACCGTACATAGTATCGTAACGTATCTGGGTAGGTCGTCGCAGCCTGAGCGGGTGGCTGGTGGTATGCAGGGTTCCCTACTGAGTCGCCGTATCCAGGATGATAAGGGTGATCATCGTTTCGAGTCGGTACCGGAGCGCCCGAAGCCACGAAGCCGTAGGAGCTCGAGTGATTGGCCGCGGCCTGGGACTGTTGTGACGACGGCGCGAAGTACTGGTTTACCGGCGCGGGGTTTTGCGGTAGAGGTGGTGGCTGCACGGATGTAGGCATCGGCCCAGGGATCGTGACTATGTACACATCCGTGGTGGTCGTAGCAAGTAGGGTGCGAGTTGCAACGCTTCCGCGCCGCGGCGTAGACTTGTGACCAATCTTCTTGAACGTGGTGACGGACAAGTGACGGAGGCAAGCTCGAGTATGTCACGTCTTCTTCCTGAACCACCATGTCTGATTGCTCGACGTCTGCCCGTCGTCGCGAGTCTCGAGTGTGCTCATAGGCGCGGTGTCTCGTACCTGTTTCCTCAGAGGTAAGTCGCTGTTGGACTCGTCACCCACTGCCACTGACATACTGTACGCAGGTCACTGATTGACCACCATAACGGCGTACTCGATTGAGGCCGGTGATACTCATCGCGTACGTGTGCTTTTCAGCCAGTCGTCGTCTTCTGTTACTCAGTGTACCCGCATAGGCTTGCTGCAGTCTATATTGCTGGGTTTGTGTGAGTCGATCTGTCCCTCGATCGTCGCGATGGTCTATTGACTTATGTCGTCGTCCAGGTCATCTATTCAAAGCATGACGTGCATACTCGTCTCTTCGGTGAGTATGTGCTTGCCGCGTATGCTTGTCCCTCGTGTATTGTAGTCGCACTGAGATGTCATTAAACTTCGTTACATCTGAATTATCGAATTAATGTGGCATTCGTGCTGTATACGACCGCGATAATTCTCGCGTCCCTACCTAGGCTGTATGCAGGGAATTCGACGTTTTCGTGCAATAATCATTAGGATAATATGCGATTTGCTTGTCGAAAAAGAACACTATTATTGCTAAGTTATCTACGACAAAATCATGGGCGGCGGCAGGGCGGCGGTGCGAGAATTACCTCGGCGGTCGCCGGACCCGCCCAGGCCGGACCCTGGAAGTTCTTTCCGTCGCTTAGGTTTCTTAGACTTCTTGGGGCTCTTGGGGCTCTTGCAACTTGAAGAACCTGTATGGGATTGCTGGTTTGTTGATGTATGTAGCCGAGCCGGTCTGGCAGGGTGACCGTCGGGTGTGAGCTCGACGGCGCGGTGACGCAGCGATATCGCAGCCTCCAGGTCTTGGAGCTCGCCAAGACGCTCGAACCGGTGCTGAAAAACGTTACCAAGGCTGTTCAATAAAGCCGGTTTTTCAGGGTGTCCATCAGGCGTGAGCTCGATAGCGCGGCGACTCGTCGATATCGCAGCCTCCAGGTCTTGGAGCTCGCCAAGATGCTCGAATCGTTTATGTAGTGCGTCACCGAAGCTGTGTAGCCGAGCCGGTTTGGCAGGGTGACCGTCGGGTGTGAGCTCGACGGCGCGGCGATCCGTCGATATCGCAGCCTCCAGGTCTTGGAGCTCGCCAAGATGCTCGAACCGCTTATGTAGTGCGTCACCGAAGCTATGTAGCCGAGCCGGTTTGGCAGGGTGACCGTCGGGTGTGAGCTCGACGGCGCGGCGACGCAGCGATATCGCAGCCTCCAGGTCTTGGAGCTCGCCAAGACGCATGAACCGGCTTTGTAGAGCATTACTGAGACTGATCAGCAAAGCCGGTTTCTCCGGGTGTCCATCGGGGGTCAGCTCTACAGCGCTATGACTCGCTGCTATCGCGGCCTCCAGATCAACGAGCTCGCCAATGCGCTCGAAATGGCTTTGTAAAGCGTTGCTGAGGCTGTTCAACAGAGCTGGTTTGCCGGAATGTCCATCGGGCGTGAGCTCGGCGGCGCGGCGTTTCATCGAAAGTGCAGTCCTCAGATCCTGAAGCTCGCCAAGGCGCTTGTAGCGGTTGTATAGTGCGTCGCCGAAGCTATGTAACCGAGCCGGTTTCTCGGGATGTCCATCGGGCGTGAGCTCGACGGCGCGTTCTTTCATCGAGATCGCTGCCTCAAAATCTGCGTGTTCCCCAAAACGCTGAAACCGACTTTGTAGAGCGACACCGAGGTTATTCAATAAAGCCGGGCCGTTCGGGTGTCCAACCGGCGTTAGCCCGACAGCAAGACGGCTCGTTGATATCGCGGTCTCCAGATCTCCGCTCTCGCCAAGGTGTTTGTACCGACTTCTCAAAGCGTTTCCGAGGTTGTTTAGCAAAGCCGGTTTGCCGGGGTGTTCATCCGGCGTGAGTTCAACGGCGCGGTAGCTCGTCGATACCGCAGCCTCAAGATCTGCGAGCTCTCCAACACGCTCGAAGCGGCTTCGTAGAGCGATACTGAGATTGTTTAGTCGACCCGCTTTGTCGGTGTGTTCATTCGATGTGAGCTTGACGGCGAGGCGGCTTGCTGAGATCGCGGCCTCCAGATCCTCGATCTCTCCGATGCGCTCGAACCGGCTTTGTAGAGCAATACCAAGGCTGTTCAATAAAGCCGGCCGCTCAGGGTGTCCATCTGGTATGAGCTCGACGGCGTAGCGAGTCGTCGAAATCGCATTCTCCAGATCCTCGGACTCGCCAACGCACTCATATCGACTGTGTAGAGCAATGGTGAGATTGTTCAACAAAGCCGGTCGCTCAGGATCTCCGTCGAGCGTGAGGTTCACGGCATGGCGGCTCGTTGATATTGAGGCGTCCAGGTCCTCGAGCTTGCCAACGCGCTCGAACCGGCTTTGTAGAGCGTTGCCAAGACTGTTCAACAAAGCCGGCTTCTCCGGGTGTCCGTCGGGCGTGAGCTCTACGGCGCGGTGGCTCGTTGATATCGCGGCATTGAGATCTCCGAGCTCGCCAAAGCGCTCGAACCGGCTCTGTAGAGCAATACTGAGGGCATGCAAAAGAGCCGCTTTGCCGGGATCTCCATCCGGTGTGAGCTCGACGACACGGTGTTTTATCGAGATCGCAGCCTCCAGATCCTCGTAATCGCCAAGGAGCTTGTATCGATTTTGTAGAGCGATAGTGAGGTTGTTCAACAAAGTTGGTTTGACGGGGTCTCCATCCGGCGCGAGCTCGACGGCGCGGCGGATCGTGGATATCGCAGCGGCCAGATCCTCGGGCTTGCCGAGGCGTTTGAATCGACTTTGAAGGGTATAACCAAGTCTATTCAATAGAGCCGCCTTGCCGAGGTCTTCTTCCAGCGTGAGCTCGACGGCGTAGCGGATTGTTGATATCGCGGCCTCCAGATCCTCGAGCTCTCCGAGGAGCTTGAACCGGCTTTGAAGGGCGGAACCGACGGTGCTCAATAAGACTGGCTTGCCAGGGTCTCCATCCGGCGTGAGCTCAATGGTGCGGCAGCTCGTCGATATCGTAACCCCTAGATCCTCGAGCTCGTCCAGGCGCTTGAAGCGACTATTTAGTGAATCGTCAAAGCTATGCAACCGGGCCGATTTCTCGAGGTGTCCATCGACTGTGAGCTCGACCGCGCGGCGATTCATCGATATCGCGGTCTCAAAATCCCTCAGTGGACGGCCCTGCTCAGGGAGCTCTTCCTTGGCTAGAATCAACACTGATTAACTCTCTGAAGGACACGGAGATGACAAACATCTCACTCTCATAGGCGATCTTATCTTGGTCGTCGACAGCGTCACCAGGCCCCGATCCTTTGTGGTCTCCCTGCAAGTCCAAGATACCTGTCACAGACGGTGATTGTTCATCAGACATAGTTCTGGTAGCCAACCATGCAAGATCATGTGGATGACTGACCAGCCACGACCCCGTTCACCGAGTCACGCCGAAAACAATTCACGAGGCCTTTCGATTGATGGTAGTGCGGTAAGAGTTGCTCATATGTAGCATGATCGTCAGTATGAGCGACAGCTAGATCTACGTCGTCGTTCTGCTCGAGGGGAGGTTCAATTGATGACGTTCAAGTGGGTGAGTGACTGGAGGGAGCACCTCAAGAATAAAGTCGAGGATAGGCATAAGGAAGTCGTCAAACTATGCCTGATGCATCAGAAACATCCAATCGCTCCAGATACGGTCACCTACTACTGGGTTTGTATCGCCGATATCGTCCAGAATCAACGCAGAATCGTCATCGTCAGCTGGGGGTCCATCATGCTTTTTGAGTTCTGTGGGATCCGCGTTTCCCTCTATCTTCTCGGGGACCAAGTCTCGGATCAAGCGGCGCTTCTTGCCCCGAAAACCGCGCACGAATATAACTTGGTTCAAGCGTTCGGGCTCGGCTGCGGCTAAATACCAGTAAGTAAGATGTCATCGCAATCAGGAATGCATACATAACACGCAACTCACGTAGTGCCTCATCCACAGACCGGGAGCCAGCGGTAACGTCATGGAGACCTTTCGCCTTGTGCTTCGCCTTCTTCTTCTTCTTTTTGGCGCCCTTCTTGGCCATCCCCGGAGTGTCCCCGACGACAGCTTCATCGCCGTCTGCCAGTTTCGTATGCCGATTTCAGATATCGAATCATGCTTATACATAGCACATACCTTGTTGGTGCACAGTCACAATCTTCTCCCTTTCCTCGGAACCAGGGCCTGAGTCCGTGAGAGGCGCACTCATGCGACTACGCTCCACTTTGGCTTTCGACTTGACATTGAATGGGACCGCGGACGTGATACCGAGACTGAATTCGCCCTGCAGAGAGCCTTCACAGAAAGTGAGGTTTGACCACGAAGACGTCGTATCGACCCGAGTGATCAGCATCAGGTCCTGAGCGCGAAGACCCAACCCCAGAGGTTCGATGACCCCGAGCCAATGCTCAAAGTTCCTAATCAAGTACTTCCTGAACGATGGGATCTGGTGAGTTTCTCTGGTTCTGACTGTCTTCGAAGTGACAAGTACGGCGCCTTTCTCGCGATGAGCCGTGAAAGTGAAACCCGCGTCTGCTTGCGAACTGTAAAGTTGCAAGAATTTGATGAGAAGATATGTCTGATACGGTTATCATGATTGACAACGCACGCTACGTCGGCTTCAGCAGAGACAGTCACAGAAGTGATGCCTCCCGAGAAGAACGGGCCCGGACAGGTTTCTTTGGTATGCACTTGGATTTGCGTCAAAGAGCTCGTGTCGGCGTACTTCATGACCTCAAAGTGATCTGGGAAGTGGCAGTCGGGATCGATGGCCTGCTGTTCCTCCTTTCCCTTCAAGCAGTTGAATAAGCGGATCAGCTGCCCGTCCCAGAGATACACGACATCTCCGACGTCCACTTCAGGGCGTGGCCCAGTCTCATCTATGCGAAGAGAGCGGCGAGGATTGATGATCGCGAGACCTCGAGATGGCGAGAGCTTATTCGCATAGTAGACGGCTCGAGAGTCGGGTTCGTCCATGAGTGGGAGTGGAAGGCAGGCGAAGGGTACAGGGCGAGTACGACGGGTCGAGGAGCTTTGTCTTCAAGGTCGGTTGCAGGTCCCATACACGATTACGAGGACGCGCATCCTAGGGTTTCGTCTCGTGCCTTCTCACAGGCCACACGGTCCGACCCCTCGAGCAAGCGCTCAAAGACGGTCCGAGGGCAAGAATGGTGATATTAGCCCAGGTTAATTTCGGCCTCTTCACGTCAACCAAATGTTGAAGTGAAGGGCACAGCCATTCTGACGGACCGATAGCAGTCCAGATGGTAGTCAGAACTTGCATTGATTTATATGGGCACTCAGCCTAGGAACGCGTAGTCAAGCTAGTTGCGGGACGCGCTAACGAGGACGAAGATCGTGGCCGGTGGTGAGAAAGGCTAGAAAAGGCTTGCAAAGGCAATGCGCGGGCCGGATGCCGATGGTGTGGGCGCCTCTTGCTTACATTACATGCGGCTGCTTGCCTCTGACGCTCATCCATCCACGACCATGATGTTCAATCTATTGATACAAAATAATCTCTCCCGTATGCCCTCGCGTCTAGAAAGAATCATTGTGTCTGGGTGACCTTAACGGCTGCGTAATGGCCGTCGTGGGACAAGAGTTACATCACCGGTGCCGCGCCGACTCCTGCGCCCGCCTCGGCGCTCTCCTGCGCGCTATCGCAACTTCCGTCGTCTTCGGTGGTTACAACGACCGAGCTGAGGTCTCCTAGTGGCGGGAATACCCAGCATCGGCGACATACACCTTGGCGAGTCGGGCTCCGGCTCGTGATGTGGTGTACGCCTGTACAGTAGCACAGCTCGACGTCGCGCCCCAAAGCTTCAACGGGTACGTCGTGCCTTGCCGACCTTAAGCGATTGCATTTGTTAATTCCATCGTGTAGACCGTATGGATTCGACTGTGAATGGAGATACACGCCTCAGGGCGGCCGCGTCGCTGTTATTTAACTGAATAATCGCGCACATTAATGCCCTTCGCGTCGACACCCTGTTCAGAAGAGGATACACCTTCCAAAACTTCATAGCCCTCACAACCGTCGTGGACCACCTTGTGAAACGAACACTTCTCAAAGGGCCCGATAGACAGAGCAACTGGGAACGCGTACCTCTGACAGCGGCTCAGCGTGAATGTACGTGCTCGCATCTGCCCTTCATGGTATCACAGGACTGAAAAGCGGACCTCATAGGCACCGCGGGCGACGCGTACTGCGTATACGAGATATTCTCAGGATGGACTCTCGCTCGCGCAGCAGCCCGTCTGAGGGGGACTGACGTCGAGCGAGTCCTGCGCGTACACGATGTGGGACCAGGGATACAGCATCGCCGACATCAAGGCGACGTTGGTCGAGTACTGTCTAGTATCCCTACAGACCGAAGAGAGTGCTATGATGTACGTCTATCGCGCTCCCGCCTCCTCGTATACTGGCAGCTCATATTGCATCATATAGCTCGTTCGTCGTCAGCGCGCTCACTAAGAAGCCGAAGCTTTCCTTCGACCCAACAACGCTGTGTACACTCGTAGAAGACAGTCTTGCGGCGTATCAAGAGCATGCGGCGTTTCTCCCTAGGCGGCGCCCCATCGCTCCCACCATGCCGCCGAAGGACAACCCGCTGCATCCATCTCCGCTCGCTCAACCGCAGCATCACAAAGCGCAGTAGAGAAGAAGCTTTCGATGCGCCGATGCGAACACGGCCGGCAAGGACGTGAGACTACGCCAGAGGAGGAGGAAGTTCCGCGCCGGCCGGGAAGGAGATGTGCTCTATCCCTCTCCGGGAGGCGTGTGGTGAAACGTGCGCGTACGGTGTAAACCGCGGTTCTGGTGGTCTTCTACGTGCACCCCAATGCTGCGCCATCGGAAAGCGGAATGAGCGCGAGGAGCGCACTGCGAGGGGTCGACTGGAGACCTTCAAATATTGTCTTGGGTCACTCCTCACATGACGCGATCACAATCGAAGTGTACACAGATACAGATAGCAAGATCGGAGGACTTATGCTCTCAGTCGCGGAAGAGCGTCGTCAGTCGTAGTACAATCGGTAGACAAGTCTCTCAAGCAATACTATATGCCCAGGTCATATTGTACAGGAAATAGAAGAGAGGGACCGAGTGAGTGCCTGATTGTTTTGGGTGCTCGTACATATATCAAAGCTGCATGGAGCTGTTAGTAGTGAGATGGCTGTATATCGAGGGAGACACGCACGTTGCGCTTCGCCCTCCGCTTCAAGACTCAGTCGATCCTACGACGGCGCCATCTCGACCTTTTGGCCATACTCCCCCATACTTCACCGTCCGTACCATCCTGAGCAACCTTCAGCATTCCCTCAAGGGTGGGCAAAGCCAAGTTGGCGTCTTCAAAGATCTCGTGAGAACTGTATGTGTCTATCAGATTCCTCACTGGGGGAGAAAAGACGACGTCAACGCATACCGTCGGAAGAAGCGCACAGGATAGGCAGCGCACAAACGGAGAAGCAGTTCTTAGAGGTAACAATCGGGTTGAGCTCGCCATCAAGCTTGATACTCGTGGCGAATGCGGTAGACAGCGGCGATGCTTACGTCTTCGGGCTCGATCATGCGCAACTTCACAAGGGTAAGCCGGTACAACATCGTGCTCGTCGCTTACGACAGCAGAACGCGCTATGCAGGAGCAGAAGACATCGTACTTCGTCTGTGGGGGTCACCACCGGCAGAAATCGCTCCCGAAGAAAACGCGGCTGTAATTGATGCTGGTGCTGGAGCCACCGATGCCTCTTCTCCTGTATGTAAACACCAACGCCTCCCCGTGCTCGACCAAGCATGGTTATTTCCACAAGGCAGTCGATGACACATGCCATCTCATTGACGCGACGATACGGGATTGCGAGGCGCTACGTGCGCCATGGGAGAACTGGGGCGCGCGGTTGTCTACACTGAGGGAAGCCGCTCGGATATTAGGCTGTGTAGTGAGCCCGCGTATCGCCCATAACATGGTGTATCTGATGTTGACTTTCGCGCATTCGAGCCGTGATGACGGGGGACCGCAACTGGCGCTGGGCGCGTGAAGAGAGCAAAGTGATCGTGGGCGGAAGCAAGAAGCGCTCGTACGCGGCGACGCAGGACTGGGCGCTGCTGGCTTCTGACCTCCATTTGATGATATTCGATCCCAATACACACCGTCTTATCTGGTCAGTTTTAACTCGGTTACCCCCTCTGAAGATGTATAGCTCGGCGTGCAGAACTGTTTCTGGACCGCCAAATCTCCTGCACGCTCCTCGATAGGATGAAGAGCTGTCGGACAATTAGGAGGAGCCGCAGGTATCTGTACCGCTCAGAAAAGATATCCTGTGATTCTCGGGGCGTATGGGTGGCTCTCAGGTAGAAGAGACGATGGGACGGGAGGGACAAAGGACCTGGATTTGTATGCTGCAGGTGCGTTGTCATGTCTTTTGCGACCTCTAGCGTAGACTAACAACCACTACGACTAGCTCCCCTCGCGGTATGACTGCAAAGCTCACCGCCCTCGGTATAAAGATACCAGAGTAAGAGAAATAGTGGACGATCGTGCCGAAACCATCAATGCGAGCGCGCACAGGCCTCCTTTCAGCTACCCGTCACGATAATTCACGGGCGATTGCTTCTGCGTACCTCCATATTCCCCACCGAGGCTTTTTTGAGATGTAAGCTGGACAATGTACATAACATAGTAGTCTACATAGCGCGACAGCAATTGCCAAAAAGCAGAATATTGACCGAATCCACGATACGATTACCAACGTGACCAACCGCCAGTCGTACACGCTCTACTGAGACAGCGTTGTGGACTTTTCGATCTTTCCATGTGTCGCGGTGTTACATGCTTCTTCGAGAGTATGTAGGCTCGAACCTGCGCCAGTGCATCAAATGAGGTACAGTGTCTGAAAGCACACAAGTGAGTGCACCATCTGATCAAGCGCAACGCGC